ATTCCTCGAGGTCGGTGAGTTTCTGGTTTCGGGGTCGGAAATCGCGTTGTGGAATAGCTCCCTTGACGCGGTCGTAAGTAGTAGAATATGGCGCATCGTACCTTGTACAAGCTGCTTTTAAGCTTGTAAATTGACCCTTATTGTATGCACNTGATTGCAAGAGCAATTTGACCTTCTTTTCGAGACATTTGAACAATAATTGGGTAAGTTATGTAGATTGAAAGTGTGTAGGGTGGTCAATGGTGGGGTAAAAAATCCGGACTGCTTATAAATCCGGACTCCTTATGAAGTACGTTATAGGAAATTAGTAGGCTAAGTATAGTCTATATAAATAGTTACACGAGGGTTAAAGTGGTTTAATAATAGGGGTAGCACGGATACTAGAGAGATAATCACGTGTGCGTTTAAGAGCTAAGGACTTTTAAGAGTTAAGTCTCGGTTAGGGGTTTATTTTTATTTTTTTGAGCCTTAGGCAGCCAATTAGAGAGTTGAAAACACGTGGTCTCAAGAGGTCCCAGCGTGCCTCCGAGAAGCACCCGGTACATGCACTTCTAGGTGCGCTCTACTGTACTACCATACGATGGCTTACCTGCCGGTATACGCGTGCATTAATTTTAGCTGAATCGATCGAATCTGTAACTTATAATTATATTGTGTTAGTACGTATTATATAGAGCGCGATACCGAGCGTAAAAAGCACCCCTGCGAGTAGTGACGTAGTGTTGTAAAGTTTCCCTGACTGCCGTGTAGTCTCCTACAAGGCTAAAAGGCCCTTAATTATTAAGGGATTACTAAGAGCTAAGGGGCTTGATAGCTGCTTCGTCCCAGGCGCAATGATTGTAGGTTTGCTAGGGTAGCTAAGGTTAGCAACAGGGTAAAAACCCCTGAAAAACCTACAATTATTTCGCCTGGGACGAAGTCATTAGTACTTGAGTGCCAAACTCTCTTGAGAGCTTATCTCTTTTTAATAGTTAACAAGCTTAGCTAGAACCTAAGCGCCAAAAAAAAGTGTTAACCACTATACAAGGATTAAATTTAGTTGGTTGTCTGTTGAGCACCTATATAGTGAGAATGGGGCTTGACGGTACCTCACAAACAAGTCCCATCCTCACGCAACTGAGATCTTCCGTCCAATCTTCTCTATGTGGATCATGTGGAGATCTTGTTTCCATCATATGCCCATGTTTGAAGTCAATATGAACCTTTCTTTTGACTAAAATTATTTCCTGGTTGAAGTGCTTATAATAAAAGCTCCGCCTGTCGTCGATTGCAGCTTCCCACCTTTCCAACTTCTACTTTCACTACCAGTAATTTTACAGTATTCTTCAGTTCAATCGAATTTTTGTACAAATCAGCATCATGCTCGCTTCTTACATCTTTCCAGTGCTCCTCGCCGCAGGATGCGTCTCTGCAGCACCAAGCCCAGTAGAGAAACGTGATGCATGGGGCGGATCCCTCTCACTAGGACCAACCAAATCCCATATTGTTTCTGCAGTCACTACGCTCATCCCAGGTGCTGCACCGCAGAAGCAAAATGGAATGTTGTTTCTTTGGCCGGGAATGTCGAACGGAACATGTGATCTCGTGCAGACCACATTAGAGAGCTGGCCTGATAACGCGTGGTGCGGAGCCAAGCCTGAAGAATGGTAAGCTTGTTCTTGAAGAGATACTACACTTGGCTAATCTAAGATACAGGTGTGTTCGCGCGTCACTCTTTGAGGGATCTGGTCAACTCGATGGCCCTGCGTCTGCTGTCAAGGGAACTGATAAAGTCGAGATCGAGTACACCAAAGCTACCGATTCGGACACCTGGACACAGTGAGTACCATCGCTCTTGTTCATACATGCCTAACTCACCTTGAACAGAATGGTTACAAATGCCGACACTGGTGCTTAATTTTCAACTTTCTCTCGCTTGTCGGGTCCCATGACTGGGTATGTAACCCCATGATCTGAAGATCTCTAATACTTACTCACAATCGACAGATGGGGAACCGGAACTGAGTGCAACAATGGCTGCACTGGTACTGTTGCTGAGCAAGTTTACACGAATACTAAGATTACCCTCGCATCTGCCGATACCACGTTCATCGAGACTGTTGGTGTTTCTCAAGGAGCAAAATACACCAATATGAAGATGTCGTCGGACAACAAGGTTTACTATCGACAGGATCAACGTTCCAAAAATGGGTTAGGATTATTTTAGTGTTTAAGACATAAGCTCTACATCCATTTGGCTTAGAAAACTTGCACATGGTTGGCATTCTGGAATCTCTCGATTATTTCGAATTCACTTGTATATATTTATCGGATTTCTTGTACATACCTCTTTACATACATGGAAATGCACAACATATTGAGCATTGAACCTCAAATATTCACTTGGCTCACTTTTCCGTACGTGCTCTTGAACCTTTCCTTCATATGGCCTTCCACATTCAGCGGTGGGCCACCGCCCTTGACTTGTGAGCCATCAAGAGGACTAAGAACGCAATCCACATTTCCATCGAAGAAATAGGGTATGCTATATCTATCTTTGCCACTTCTATTCACAACTCGATGCAGTCCACTCTTATACCGCCCATTTGTCCACATTTGAAGCATATCACCAATATTTACCACATAGGTATTTCGATCGGGATTCACATCTACCCATCTTTCCTTTTCTGGAGCAGATTCGCTATAAACTTGCAAGACACCAATCCCATCCTGCAATAGCAAGGTCATGGCACCGAAATCGGTGTGTGCTCCAGCCCCAAGTTGCCTCTCATCGTTCCCATGATCTGGTGGATAGTGTAAGAGGCGAATAGCTGCAACAGCATCATTTGGCGTGAAATCCTTGAAGATAGATGAGCCATACGGAAGACTGGCCGCAAAAAGGTCCAAAACTTTCAACGAGAGTTTGAACATCTCTTCATAATATTTCTCCATTGGTTGACGGAATAGATGTTCTGGAATGAGAGAGCTGTCAGGCCATAGATTTGGCCCCATGGGAAATCTCTTGCTCTTGACGCGGGGGTCGTCGGCTGGTATTTCTTTTCCGATGTAATATCCCTAATGTTGATAAGCGATAGCACCTACCGCCTGCACAAAGTTTGAGATGGAAGCCGTGATTTTGTAGTGAGTTCAAAAATACACACCTCCTTCAAATATGGCAAGGTCCCATCCTGCAGAATCTGGCCCCAAATCATCTCGTAACCCCTACTACTCGCCCCAACACTCTTGCTTTTATCCAGTTTGTTCTTTTCTTCGATATCTAGAGCGAAGAGCCTGGCCACCGCTTGAAACACCTCATCTTGAAGCTTCTTTGACACTCCATGACCGGTTATCTGAAAGAACCCGGTAGTTTCACAGGTGGTGCGCACTTGGTCGACTATCTTTTGAGATGCTACAAACTCTGGTGATTTGAGAAAGGGTGAGATATCGATACATGATATGTGGAAAGTTGACTCGGGGCTGGAGGCCTGCATTTTGGGAGCGAAATATCTGGTTACTTCGAGTGATTCTACTACCCGGAGCTTTGTTGTAGGTTGAAGCAGGTAGTACGTAGACGCACGAGATGGTCTGTCAGTGTGCGCAGTCTTATCATGTTTGCTCTTGATTGGCTCTACCTGCATGCGCGAGGTACTGATAATGGACCGGCGCGCGGCGAGTTCCATTTTCCCTTTCGATATTTTTATTTTCATTTGCTACTAGATGTTGGCCTCTTATGGGCGCATCAAAACATTTTGCAGTCATTGTCCGAAGTTGAGGTGGGTGCTACAACCCCGAGGCCCATCCTTCGCGATTCATTTTCCGCCATGAAAGTGTATACCTATCTACATGATTGGGGAGAGCGAGGGGTGGGATTGTACTCTGGCGGTATCTAGACAGTGCCGTTCCTTCCTTACTCATTCAGCTTGTGTTGTCGCCACGCTGATACAACAAGCCAAGCAGGTTGAGGCGATTGGGAGGCATGGCGAGAGTCCAGGGGAAAGAGCGAGCTCAAGTCTCTTCAGTGCAGATCAGTCGACTGTATTGACAAGGGGAATGACCATGTACGTGATCTCGACCTCTTCTCGCCTTGAACCCAACAGGCTCTACATGAGTCCAAAACAAGCTGGGTGCACCACAAGGCGACCAGTGGTTCGGCTAATAGTTCTGTCCTGCGATTCAAGCGACGAAAGGCCGAAAACTAGTAAGGTCGGTTTTCAACGGACTGTATTCGCGCAAAATGACTTTTGTAATTTCTCTCCGCGCATTTCTTGTAATATTAACCCATAATACAGTAAAAACGTATTATGGTGGCACATCAACTAGTTTTGGCCGGTCATATACTAGTGTGTATACCTATGAACCTTTCGCTTGGCCTTCTCGCGGGATCCGTAAACTCGAAGAAATCCAAGATTCAAAGATAATTGAGGGTACCCAAATAGTTCTTACCTTCAACAGGAACCAAGAAATGAGTATTGTCAAAATCGAGTGACTTGCTACAACAATAACAGCTATCTAGAGCCGTAAACCGCTTCTTGTATTCTCATTGTACTCTAACGCAGTACTTTGCCCTTTAATATTGACTGCATTTTCATTTCTGGTGTCATTTTTGGCATCGTATCGTAGGGGAGCCACTAGTTCTCAGAACTAGAAAATCGACGTATTATTTGGTAGGTATATTATGGATCAATCACCCATCACTGTTGTATATAATATCGCATACTTAAATTCTCATTTTTATAAGCTCAATCAGTAAAATCAATACATCGAAAGCATCTCTCATCATCAAATATACCCTTCTCAGTCACCATGGCACCCATAAATCGTTTAGGCGTCTTTTCCAGACTTCCATTAGAAATAAGACAGCAAATATGGTCCGAGTTCCAACCACAGTATCTCCAAGGCAATCAACAACTTACAATTCTTTGCACGAGTAGTCACATATACGAAGAGGTTTCGACAGAAATATTCAAGCATCAAGATTTCAAGATTTGGATTCCTGCCCGATGCGGACGTACTGAGGTCGAAGATTCTGATGAATCGCCACAACCTGAAGACAATCCCCACACAACAATAACGAATAACTTCTATCGCCTTTGGCAATTAGAAAGCTATCAAAATGCGGTATCCATAGGATTCGGACCCCAAGGCTTTCCCTGGCACAAAGTCCCTCGTATACGAATCGAAATCGAAGCCCCAAGCTCAGACGACGGGGAACTCATCTGTGTCTATAAGCGAACCAGAGATCTTATAGAATTAATTGAGCGACCCGGACGAAATTTCAAGAATATAGAGATCTTGTTAAAGGACACCGAAGAAACACAATGGTTTCGCGGCCGCAGAATCCCGGAAATCACAGAGGTTGGAAGTGATATCCTTGGCTCTGAAGGAGAGGAAATCCCACATTTCGAAGTGATCCTAGATTTGTTCAACCGCCTTCGGAATTTCAACTCCGCCAAGGTACATACCACTCAATCACCACTTAGATCTGGACTGGGAGCTCCATTTGAGCGGCTACAAAATGTCATCTTGGTAGAGCCAACGCCTTTTGGTTACTTCAAGAAACGAACCCAGTCTTTCGATATTGACGACAAGGTAACGAGGCAACGATTGGGCGACAGATACCTTATGATGGAACGCTTCTTAGACAATGTACCTCAGGCAGTCGAAGGGAGGTCATCGACCGCCAACTGTTTGCGACTAGAAAGATTCGCTTCCTGGTATTCGGATTTCTTGCATGGCCATTCAAAGTATGAAACAGACATCATGGATATTATCTGCTCCGGGAAACGATCTTTGAAAGAACTCCAACTGGAGACCTTCTGTCTGGACCATCGATATAGACTGATGCGCGCATACAAGCCTGTCGCAGTACACCTATGGAACGAATTCGCACCGTCCGCAGAACCTTCACCAGCAGAGGCGTCTTGGGATAAAGATAAGTGGCAAAGGGAATGGCCGCAAGGTATCAATGGACTGGAACCGGTGTGGGATTTTGTTGCCGCGAATCTTCCTGATGTAGCTTTTCGGAGCGACATTGGCACCGTTTTGATGTTGTGCGAGAAAGCCATGGTTCCCTTCCCCAATTGGTACAAATGGCGCTTCGACTGCTTCCTACAAGCATTCCCAGGAGTAACCAGCGGGCCTCATGAAGATTTCTGGAAAATGAATTATTTTCGAGACAAGGTTAGCGAACGTCGCGAGGATCTCGAGAATTATCATGATTTATGCCAGGAGTCCATGGATAGTTACGGCGAGTTGGCTTGGCCCCTGAGAAAGGAGGGAGAGCAATTATACAAGGCCATGACCCCGAAGGAAGTTAGGGATTGGAGGGGGAAATTCAAGAGGGGGCTCCGATAAGGTGGCTTCCTCAGAAGTCCAACGAGCAAAAAGAAAAAAGGAAATACCTGTTTTCGAAAGGACACCGACCAGAATTTGATCATCTAAGCCACCTTTGTTTTACAAGATCTCTTCTATTAATCATAAGGCTTAACATCTCAAAATTCAACTGTCAACTTGCCTAGGCCCATTAACACCTCAACGGCAACAAACCACTCACTACGTACCATCACTTGCATTCAATAGGGTCATATATTTCCAATAGTCCATCCACACACATCAAAAAACGAAGCCAGCATAATCAATTCGTTAATTACACAGCCAAAGGATTTCTTGGATACTGCCTACTATGGTTTAGACGGATACGATCCCAAGGCCACTAAGCGAGCACTGTTTGCCCCTAGCGAAGAGAGTTTGAGAATCATTTTTGAAATGGATGATACCGATGCTTTACAGCTTCCGTTGAAGGAGATACTTCATGAGATCTGTAACGAAGGAGAAACAAACGCAAACAGACCAAAGAGGGATGGATATTAAGTGCAAGCTTTAGTTTGTTGTAATTAGGAATTTCATCACTTCAGAGTCCCATATCACTTAGTAGTTCAGTTCAATTAATAACATTCTCATCTAATCATCGTGCAAATAGTATCTAACATTACTGATTCCAACGCGTCCAAAATGACTTCATCTAAACCAAACGCCAGGCGAAAACCCACAAATCTAATATCAAGTCTTCATCATTGATTCTACCCTACCGCTCCTTTCGTCTTCTCAGATCTTTAGACTTCGGGGGCCCAATCTACTGACTTGTCCTTCTTATCAGAAGCATCAGGGTGACCAGCTGGGTACTTGAGGACCGATCCTTCAGGGCGGTGCTCTGGGTATCTAGGCGCAGGAAGAGGTGGTGGTGGCGGCTTGTGGAATGCGCCTCTGATCTTTACTGCTAAATCGTGGACCCTCATCCTTTTCTCAAGATCTGCTCCGTCGACAGGACCCTTGACATCCTCGTTCTTCTCAGATCTCTTGCCGACCACGTTGCCGCTCCATGTGACTTGTTTTTTCGATGCAGAAGGATTAGGGCGATTGCCGGGGGTTCTAAGGATCGATCCCTCGGGACGTTGTTTCTGCCAGATCCCGTGTGACGACTTCACCCAGCGGGATGGAACCGCTGCCGCTTTTGGAGGCGATTTACGAATCTGGCTCAAGAGTGCTAATTTACCCATTTCATAGTTGAAGTCGAATGGTATTTTTTTTGGACTGGGGGGATCCCATAGTTTTGAATGTTCTCCATAGTGCCTGTCGAATGGCGCGTTGGGATGAGCCTTGATCGTGGGTGGTATAACCCCAAAACCAGTCCCACCAATAGGACGTCCAGCAACGGTGGTGGAAAGAAGTGCCGTAGCAGCGAAAAATTTGAGAATCAACATGGTGAAATTGAAAATTGGTGATTAATGGCGGAATGCGAAATAGATGCAAGGTATTGAAGGTGTGATAGTTATGAAGAAACTTCGGAAGAATACTATTGATAAGATGAAAGAATAAGGCTGAAAATTGAAATAAACGCGTAAAGTATCGTGTAATGAATGTGGTGTTGCTATGGAACAAAAAAGACCAAAAGACAACAAGAAGGAAACAAAAGAAGAACAAAGAACCAAAGAGGTATGGAGGAAGGGAACCGAAGGGTGGGGAGCCTAGAATTCCTTAAGGGCTTCTCTCTTATATAAAAGAATCTTTGGAGATATTGGTTCTTGGTACCGTACCGTTTAGTAGACTAATAGCCAAAAAAGAAAAAATTACATATCAAATTAACTGAGTTTTATGCACGGTCTCCCTTAAGCTCCTAAAGCGGGAATGACAATCCAGATTTCCAGGGTCCACAGCGGGTTAGCGAGGGCACCCAGCTCTTTCATTCGTGAAAACAACTCGTTGACACCGAAGAAAGTCTGGGCTGGGCTAATTACTATCTTGGCCGCTGTTCTCGAAGGTTGATTTAGAGTTTACTGTGATGGTAAAAATAAACTTTACGATATCAATTGGCGAATCACCTGAGGTCGGGTTCATCACCTACCCCGGACCACCAACGTCGTGTGGGGTGTTATGGTGGATCAAGGAATAGATTGTTCGCAAGGAGGGAAGAGAGACGCTCTTCGCACTCCTTAGGTATTTGTCTATCTACGGAAGGGTACACCCGCAACTTCGCTAAGCGAACCCTTATTCACTAAATCAAAAACTGTCACATGGGGCTAATGTGCAGCGATCAAACATGGTATTCTGCATATTGTATTGACCTAGGAATATTTCTACCTCGTTTTTACCTTACTCCCCGAACTTTCTCGGGCTAGACTAATCGATACTCTGAAAAGGTGCCGAGAGAAGGAAAGCAAGCCTTCCGATAGGGCTTGGTAGTTTCTAAATTAAAAGTAAGGTTATTTCTTATCTGTGATTTGCTGAATCATACCCCAAGTAAATTTACCTCCAACTCTAACCTAACTCTACTATATTAACTATAACTACTAATTTAACATACTTAGATACTCTAGTAGATCTTAAGAATTACCTAATCCTATCTAGAGTCAAAACATTTTTCAAGGTAGATTTCCCTCTAGTCGAGTTAGCGAACTTATAACTCGATAAAAGTCCTTGAATTAGGCAGATTTCATATTATGGAATAAAAGCTATAATCGAGCACACGTAGAGTGTGAGAGGCCAGACCTCGAATAGCTCAAAGGTGTGGTTTCGAATATTCAATTAAGAAGTGCGTGAAGACTACATACATGCAATCCCTTCCTCTATATATAGAGAGAGGAAGAGTTTCTGGAGTCTTCCAAGAAACTGTTTGACAAATACGTGACGTCAAAAGAATAGAGTAGAAAAGTGTAGAAAAGGAGAAACCAATTTAGCAGTGGAGCAATGGCCAATGCTGAGCGGGGACTTTGGTCAGTGCTTAGCGAGGGCATGGTCCGAGCCTCCATCATGGGTTCGAACCCTCACATAGAGTTCTAAAGCCTCTTATTAGAAACTTTCGAGATACAAGTATAAAAGAAAAACCATACAACAAATATAAAAACCCCTACTAAGTATCTAGCTATTTTCAAACTCGGGCTATGGTATTATAGCTACTACTTCAGAACTTTAGAAAAGTCCCTAATAATTATCGTATTAAATTAGTAATACCTAATAAATCGATGAATAAATAATCTAGTACAAAAGCCGATAGACTCTAACAGCCCTAACATATACTTAACCTTATCTTCAAGAGTTACAAGAGCATTATTTATCTCATCCCTTATAAATCCTCCGAGAGAATCGGAGACAGCGTTGGAAAAAAATAATCAACTAATTAATTAATACTCTAAATTATTTAGATTTGAATTAATTTGATTTAATTAACAGGTCTAGTTAATTTAATTTGATTAACCGATTTAGTTAATCAGAGTATTAATTAATTAATATATACTATAAATAGTAACTAAAGTACAAAGTAATTACTCTTAAATAACTCGTCTTTCAGTAGTATATTACTGTCCTTGTTTATAAAATACCCCTAGATTTTTATACTAATTACTAGTATAGCCTTTAGAGTCTCTTTTATTATTGTATTCCTATTTAAGTTACATAATTACACGTAACCCTCTATACTAGTAGTAATAAATAATTAGTACTATAAGCCTTCTACTAAAGTAAAGGAAGAGTCTTATAATATAAAAGTTTTATAAGCTCTACTTATACGTTATATAGGCAGGTCGGACTACCCCGGACTCTACCTCGAGTACTACCCGAGGCCCGGGACTCTACCCCGAGTCTCGGACCGACCGGACTCCGTATTAATCTGAATTAATCTGAATCAGTCTGATTACTTAGCGATTTGATTTGATTAATCGATATATTAGTCTGATTTGATTTGATTAGGTGCTATTAATCAAACCAAATCAAATCATTTCTAACGCTGATCGGAGATCGACTAATACCATGATTAGGACGTCAAATACTAAATTGGATATCTCATTATAGCCAACGTTCGGCAACAGGATTTCCATTGTATTCTAGAGCCTTCCTCTAGAATCGTTCTATTTTTTTAAAGGAAGGAATTGCTGGAATTATTCCATTCTAGAGGTATATATTTCGTGGGATACATGAGATTTCTAGATGGAATCGAGCACTTATCCCGGAAACTATGTCTCAGGTCCGGTAGGCTACTCCTATTTTGTCTTAGTCTAAGACTATTGTAAATATAGAGAGTAGGAAGAAACTACCTAGGAGAATAGCTCTAGACTGTCCGAGACATATCACGTGAATGTACCCTATCCACCTGCCCCGGGCACCCTCACACGGCTATTCTATTGAATCTTTATAAATATTCACTGGAAATGAAATTGCTAGAGTTCCGAAGACTGATCGATAGAATAGGAAAGTTCCAGTATGAAGGAGCTCCGGAAGGATTCTAGTTGGAATGGAATGGAAGGATTTCATTGGGTATAGTTCCTTGTGCTAAATGTTGGTTATGGTCCAGAATAATATCTATAAAATACTATATAATGTTCAGTTATCCTATCTCGTGGCTGTCTCTAGTTAAAATCATATTTATTCCAACTCAGCAACCATAGTATATTGACCTACAAGCCCAAATAACCCTTCACCGATCAAGCCATCAATTCCGCAAAGAGAGATATAAAATCAAGACTACTTCCTATAAAAGGAAGAGTACAAAAACGAATTGCTAAAAGAACTAGTTTATCCCTTCCATTTTATATATCTATAGAAGAAACGTCTATTCCTAACTAGAGTTAAGTCAGAGTAAAAGATTTACACTTCAAACATTATCTTCGCATATTCCCCCTTTCCCCATCAAACGATTATTTTTCTAGCCGCTCCATATATAAATCGAAAAAAAAAGTTTTTCTTCTGGGGGTAGGGAAGGGAGAGTGAAGCAAAGTGAGGTCGTTTAACCAGCCAACTCACCTACCAAAGAATCCGACCCTCCAATTTACCTAGTTATCACATCCCACTTCGCGTACTCATTCTCTCTATAGAACGACATTCTAGAACAGATAAGTCCTCCAAAGACAAACATTTGTATTTCACATCGCAAATCCAACCCTACCCTACTTCACTTCCTACCCATAATGACCTCATTATCACATCCCTCCTCTTCCTCCCCATAGTGAATACACTTAACACCATCACTTACCAAAAGATTCACCCCCTCAACACAAGATTCACCCCCTAAAAAAAGAACAATTCTTCATCCCTACAAAAACATTAGCCTCTTCTCATCCCCCTCCCACCCAATCATCCCTTCGCTTCCCTCTCCCTCCTGAAAATCAAGCATCCATCCAAAAGCCCCCATCCCTTATCCCCCATTCCCCCCATTCCCCCCATCCTCCCCCCTTCAAATCCCGTCCAGGACCCCTTACAAAAATCCCAACACCCATCTCACACCCTCACACCACCTAATATCCCCCTACTAAGTAGCGAACCCCACATCCTAAGAAAAGGGAGATATCAGATATCAAGAGCGGATCTTTCCATACCCAGCTCTAGTATCCCGTAAGTGTACAATACAAAGTAGATGATACATAAATTATCAGTCTATATTTTATTACTTTCCTAGCCTCTACTCTACTCTACTATACTCCTCTCTCTCCCTAGCTCTAGCATTGGGGACGATGATGAATCGATGATGGAGGGAAAGGGAGGTGGACAGGGTGGGGTGAGAGCTAGCTGATTATCACAACCCAACACCCAGCACCCACCCCTCCATATTTCGCGACACCTTAAAAACAAAAAAAAGAAGAATTATACACCACTCCCCCCCTCTCCCTCCTACCCCAGTCCTACCCACACACCACCCCCATCAACACATCAGCACAAAACCCCGCATCTCCCCCTCCCATTCCCACTCATACCAACACCACTCCCCACCCCCCACTAAAAGACTACCACACCACTCCTCGCCTCACAACAAAAAAACCAAACTCTACTCACTAATCCCCATCCCATACCCCTCCTCCACCTCCTCCAACAAGCACAAACAAGACAGCTAGCTACCACAATCTTCCATCAAAACCGCATATTATTCCTGTTTCCTCACAGGTATAAGTACCTACTGTACAAATCCCCTCCCCTCCCCTTCTCCCCAAAAAAAGAAAAAAGGTAAAAGGTAAAATTACAAACGAACAGAAAATCAAAAAGAGTATTCAGTCCCTAGACGCAAAACAAGGAAAGGGAAAGGGAAAGTAAACGGGGAACAAGATATATGATATAATATAATATATATGATATAATGAATCCCCTGTCCACCTACCTCGAGCTCCTCCACTCCACTCACTGGCTTCTTTCATACTGTAGCGCAACATCATAGGAATCCTTAATCCAAGCGCCACAAGAACAGCAACCATCACACCTACTCTGCTACTCAACTTTACAAAATATCACAGAGTCCACATAGGCAAAATTGAAAATTCATACTGAAAGCCAGCATCATGGATCTCATATCATTCCATTCAACGAATCATATCATATCTCATACCGTATGCATTCACGTTCGCTCGCACTTTCCACGTTTCTATGCCCATTCTGCCCTCCATGCATTCAACACCCAAACCATGCAAGCAAACCAATCCATCCATCCACGCCTTCCATACTCCCCTCCCCAAGCTCCATCCATCCCTTCTGCAACACGAAAAAGAAAATGTGTGATTTCCACCCCTCACAATCAATCAAATCCCCTTTTTTATGTCTTTATCCGGGTGTGAAGAATGGGAAAAAAGTAACACCCCCTCTCAACCACCAACCCCATTACCCCCACCCAGAAAACTCCATGATTGCATGCATGCAAGGGAAAAAAACAGAGTAAATTTTGTTTTCCTCTCCTGAAAATGGTAGATCCAGGGCTCGAAGAGAAAAAGTCAAAAAAGTCTCCCCGAAAATCTTCTTTTTTCCTGGCCATGTGTTGTTTTTTGCTCTCTCCAACCAAATGCAAAAGAAAAGGAAGGGAAAAAAAGTAATAACCTTCTGCCATACAAAACAGGTAGGTATACCGTCGTTGTAGTACAAAAAGGAAGCCCAATCTTTCTATCATATGAAAAACAACCAAAGGAAAATGAGAACGCACACAAAGGAAAGAAGAAGAATTGCGGAAAAAAGCTTCTGCCCATGCTTTTTTGTAAAGCCAACTCCAAATACCCTGAAACAAGCACAAGCACGCCAAAGGGTAGACGAGAGAAAAGACAAACATTGCATCACGCAAACATTAGGCGTATTCGCAGTTGCTGGATGCATCTTTCCTCGGGTCGACCGTAACATCAATAATTCCCAAACAAAAGAGTCCTTTTGATGCCGAAATCTGGTCGAGAAGACTCGGATGCAAATTGGAATTTCGATGGAAGATGAACGTAAACACATTATTTGAAAACGCTGGGTGCAGTCGCCAAAAGGAACCGTCGCTATGCAGGAATAAAAACCAACGAACCTCTGGGGCTCACAATGTACAAGAACTGAGTTTTGCTCGTATTATAATTTTGAAATGTCACTCAGACGACAGTCATCATATGCATCCTTTGACCGAGGCTTCGGGATGGAGAAGAATCCAACGGGCTATTATTGAGCATGGAATTATTGCTCTGATTTCTTGGAAGAGATTTTGGGGTGCCGGATTGTGGGTCGGTGAAAACGCGAGTGAAGGCGGGGCTAGACTCTCTGTGAGGAGTTAAATCAGGGGACAAGGCTCTGCCATCGGCTCTTCGAATTATTTCACCGAGAGTGCGAGTTAAGACGCCGGCACGTTGAACGAGATCTCGGAGACTGGTGGTATCGAAAGGCATTTTGTTGGCCGATTGAGCAGCCATTTCCTTCACAAGCGGATCTGAAATGGCTCGATGTTGATGCATTGTCTCCATGACAGTTCGTGCAACCTCCGATGACTTCTTCTTCTCGCATGATGGGCAAGGTGAATGGGGTAGAGGAACACTGCGGGGACTGTTGGAATCCGCTCCAAAGATATCGTCATCGAGTGTGAAGACGGATCTACGCCGAAGAGTTTTGACATCATACGGAGACCCCCCGGAACGTTCGTGACTCCCCGTAAGATTCCCAATGGGTTTAGAAGTCTGACGAGAGTCGTGCCCAAAATCCAGATCTTCGTCACCGAAGTCGAGGTCCTCGTGTTCATGGCTCAACTTACCATCAGAAGCGTCTCGGTTGAAGACCATTGATGTTGGAGATGATGGAGTAGACAGGTCAAGGTCCTCCTCATCTGGAACTGCCAAAGCAATGATCCCCTCAGCCTCTTTCCACAATCCTGCCGATGGACCATCCAATAACCCCTTTTCTTTTCCTAAGAGTCTCAATCTTTTGAGATCCTCGACCAGCAAACAAACTTCTCGAATATGTCCAACATGGCCAACTACAGTTGCTTGGCTAGCTTGAATAGTAGGGGGGATAAACATGCCACTCTTTCCCGTTGTGGAATCGTCACCCTCATCGTCTGATGGAATATCGAAATCAAAATCGTTGTCCCAATCCTCACTGACTCCTTTACCACCGAGTCCCCAAGTCCCAAACTTTGGAGTTAGCTTCGAGTGCTCTGTAGCGTCGGGCACCACGGGAACACTTTGGCTACGGATGTGAATTGGGGTTGGACCACGTCTGCCAGGTGTGCGTCCGCCTCGAGTATCCAACAATTGATTGGCATGAGCAGTTCTGGGCCGAGGAGATCTACCCAAAGAATCAAGTTTTTCATTCGAAGGTTCAGACCATTCGAACAAGTTACTCCTGGGTCTTTCAGTAGTCACACCAGACATGCTGTTGCCGGATACATCTGCCAAGGCAGCCCTAAAACTGGCACTCATTCGGAAAGAATTGGAATTTGATGGAGGAGACAAGCGGTTGTCGAGTCCCATATCATCTTCCTTGGTCCAATCCTCGTCGTCCTCTTCATCGTCCAAGGAAAGCCGACCAAAATCCTTGGTAGCTAGGCAGAAACTTGGCGGAGACGAGGGAATGTCGGAGTCAGCAGTCGTTGGACGGACAGGTGTTGAGAACCCATCTCGAACGGGCAGTACAGATTCTTTGATGGGTGTTGACATGTCCTCGTCCTCTTCAACAATACTAGCGTGTGTTTTGTTCCTGATCAAGGGGATGTTGAGTTGACCTTGAAGACTTGGAGGAGATTCGTCAAACATGGAATCCAGAGTTGCATTGCGGGAACGACCTGTACTTCCTGTATTTCTCGAAGTCAATGAATCGAAGACAGTCTCATGGAAAAAATCAATATCATCATCCTCGGAAGGTCCACTGTATTTAGCATCTTGGTCGAGAGTCGCAAGCTGAGACACGATCTTCTCAATGGGGCTGTTGTCGACGAGGTGTGCCTTCTCTGGTGTTTCATATGTGACAGGTGCGCTTCCTTGTTGTTCCAACTCTATTTTCCCGCTCAATCTTCTGGTCGGGGTATCAAAAGTGTATTCTTGTGCGGGGTTCCCGAAGAAATCCATCGTCATGGGTCGATTGATTGAATGCCCATCAGCCGACATGATATTCCTTCCAGGCAATGCTGAAACAGGCGCAGAAGAATGACGCTTACCCCCACTTCTACCTTCAGCGTTTCTCTTATTTCCTTTCATGCTTCCGGTCTTTGACAATAAACCATTTGGGGAACCAAAATGGAAAGAAAGAGAACGGCGAGGTCGTTTTGAATCGACGGATGGCACGTTGGTGTCATATTCTTCAGTTTCCTCCACTAGAGAACTATCAAGCGGTAAACTATCATCCCCAAACTCATAGGGATCATCTGAAGGTCTGAAATTAATCACATCAGGAGTGACTAGCGTTGGTCTAACAGAATCATCTACAAGAATCCGTTTGGATGTTGATTGGCCTGCCAAACGGTCCTTTGAAAATCGTACACTTTTACGTTGGAAGAAGGGACGCCACGAGGGGAGTCCTAATTTACTTGCCTTATTACTCCAAAAGCTAGCTCGAATAGAGCCATGTGCAGTATTGGGACTTGTGTTGGAAGATTCGGTAGATTCCTGGATGGTGGACTCGATTTCGGGTGACTGGTTTCTGGAGAGTGGATCGTCGGAGGATTGATTTCGGAATTGTTCCATCAGGTTGGCAGAACGTTGATAGCTAGTGGCAGGTCTGCGTAGTGTAGGGACTTTGGATTTGGAGCCACTTCGCGCCCAAGCTTCCGTCTCCTTCTTGCCCGAGGATGCCCTCTTGACCAATTTATTGGATTTATTGGGGGGCAATTGAGCTGGACTATTGTCTGGCTCGGCCAGAATTGGAGCCGCAGAACCGTTTGTGTGTGTTATAGAGGGCGAATCAGGACCGACACTTGATCTAGGACTGGTGTTGTAAGAGGTCGGCATGGCTGAGAATCTTCTGGCCATCCATGATCCCCTGGATGAACCAGAGTCTCTCTTATTCTCTCCATCTGAAGGTGAGGATCCATCCCCTTGGCGGAACATTGTATGTCGTCTGACACGGGCGTGGCTTGAGGGTGGAAGGTCATTTCTTGGGGTCGTAGAAGTCGGTCGAAGTGTAGATGAAGGGGGTTCTGGCGACTCGCTTGGATCGGTTGATGGTTGAAGGGTACTGCGATTGGGAGTAAGAGAAGACATCGTAGCGGGACGTGAGGAAGGAGAGGCAGTTCCGTTGCCATTATTGAGTATGCTGAGATGGGTAGGGTCTCCAGCAACTCGTTTATTAGAAGTGGGATTTGAAGTGCGCTCCTGTCTAGCAAATGCCAGACCCACCGCAGCGACTCCGACTGTGCTTGAAGCAACCAGCTATAACAATGCCCAAGTTAGTCAGACACTCATACAAATTAGACGGTGACGATGGCAGCTGCCATGCAGATCTACGCAAATAGATGAATTGCAGCGGTCGCTGCTGGCAATGGCAGAGGGTACATGCCTGCACTTCCATGCACACGGGGACGGGGGAACGAGACGTTGAGGGCAGCAGCACACTTACACTAGGTATTACCGTCTTCATCTTGTAATGTCACAGAGCTCCTCCCCCGCTCAATGACCTCCCTAGACAAGAACCTGAAGAAGCAAAGGGACGATGGATGTAGAGTCAATTATCATCGTTGGGTGATCGGTGAAGTTGGTGGTTGGCGGGTTCAGTGGTGGTGGCGTGAAGGTGAACGCAGCAAACAAAATTGTTGGTTAAAGTTTGGTGGAGTAAACACAGGACGTAATCTCGAGGCAGTCAATGCAGCGAAGGAGTCGCAGTCGCAGTGGTGGTCTCCAGGCTGTGCGGTCTGTCAAAGTCGTGAGATGGTTGACGCGAGGGGTAGAAACACGAAGGAATGCCTGGCACTGTGGACATGTGCGAATGGTGGTGGTAGGTCGGTATGGTTCTAGTAGAAAGAAGGGAGGGTGGTGAAGAGAAGGACGATTGGTGGTGATGGTGGTGCAGGCATGACCTCTGGTCGGCTGCGGCTGTGGCTACGACTGTATCTGCGTCTCTGCGTCGGCTGGTGAAGAAGGTCAAGGCAGGCAAGAATAGCGTTCAGAAGCAGTACTGGTAGCAGCAGTAGAAGTAGAACACAATGCAGCGCAAAGTGCACGCAAAAGTTGTTTGCTTGCTCACTGCGTGCTGCTTGCTTGGACTTTGCGTATAGGTAAGTAAGGTTAGGTTCTTGGGCGCGGAGTGGGCAAGTGGGCTGCTGAGTGGACTAAACGAGGATCAGGGTGCCTGGGAAGTGCAGTATGGAGCACCAGAACCTTGTTTTGTGGCAGGGCTACGGGGACTAGGCCAATCGCTCCAGCAAAAAGAAGAAGAGGGGCAAGAGTTCCGGTAGGCTGGAGATTGGAGATTGGCATTGGCACTTGTTTATTTACTTCAATTTAGGGATGTTTTGGGTGCAGGAGCGGGTGCTGGACCTGGAGCTGGTCTTGGGTGCTGCCAGACTTCCTCGCTTTCCAATGCTACCTCACCCGGCTCCAAGTGCAAGCGCGATAGCCTGGGCCTCACCTTCATAAAAGTATAGTAGCGTGTATACTCGATATATGCTGACGTCCCTCCAGCAAATCAATGAGCTGCCCTGCATCTGCACCACCGCACCCGCCAGATCCCCCATCTCCATCCCCATCTCCAGGTCGAAGCAATGATACTATACACCACTCGACTGCGACCGAGTACTGCTACCTCGACACGACACGACACGACTCAACTCCATTCAATCCACCACGCAATCCCACCACCCATCTTCAGTACCTGCTTGGGCACGCACGACATCAACAATGGCCTTGATTGGCTCCCCCACGGGACCACCACACTGCGCTTCATGAATCGGCTTCTCGCCACTGCCACTACTGCCACTACTGCCACTACTGCCACTGCACGGTAACGGTAAGACTAGAAGAGGGGCTCTCGCGCTCGCTCTCGTGCCTCAATTGACATCACATCCAATTGGGACGGGGACGGGACAGGGCAGACAGGGTGCTCGACGCTTCGTATGGGCTGAGTCTTATGGAGATCAGGAGTCCACAGATGAGGGGTTGATCTTCTGCTGCTGCTTCTACACCGCAGTGCTGCATGTGCTTGTTAATCCTCTGGAAACTCGGAAGTTGGAAAGTTGGTATGGCATGGTCTCTGCTGAACCATCGACAAGGCAATTGTACGAGTACGGGCCCATAGTGGCATATCATTGGATCGCATCGAATGCAAGGAGATCATGTAATAGATGCATATCATTGGATTGTACGGAATGCAATGAAAACATGTCGGGGAAGTCCCTACATAAAGCTGCTAGTACCGCGGCTGGAGCATGCGGGATTCTATTTCAGTATTGCTCCTGTCTACAACTACTACATACAGTGCAGCAAAGGTCCAAAGACTACGCTTCGTACAACCAACGGCAGACATACAATCCGTACAATCCTTCCTCCCAGCCAGCCCATCCATCTCAGCCCTGAAAGTCTGGTAGCGAATGGCACTCTCCAATATCCACAACTGTCGTGCAACTAACACAGTGCAGTCCCGTCTGCCCCAAGCGGGCCTCCTCGCCTCAATATACTCTTCCCAGAGCAATGTGGTGGGAAAGGCTCTTCTCGTCCTGTACGGATCCGGTCGAGGGCGCAAAAAGCTATTGTCCACCATGCATATCTCTCAGCGATTCGTTTCGTTTCGTTTTTTTGCTTTCTTTACGCACCTGCAGCCCAATTATTGGCTGGCTGTAGTCACAACAACAATGAATGCGGAAGGTCTGTTTGATTCCACTCATATCTGTACCCAGCCCAGTACTCTACGCCGTACATTGGCTTGTTGTTTCAGATGTCAACCGACGAGAATTGCCGCCACAAACATACCCTTCCTATCAAACAGATCCTCTGTGCACGAGTAGATGGTAAAGAACTTCAACCCGGTACCGTCGACCGTAGGGTAGGCGGCTACTCCTCCCACTCCACTCCAACCTTCCATAGGCGACGCTAGCTATCGGGCATTGAAATGTTTCAGTAGAAATTTAGATAAAGTGCTTTGTTTTTGTTTTTTTTCAAAAATGTAACCGATCTCACGCCGCTCCCTCGGGACGAAGAAATCATGAACATCTGCTTTGGGTAATTTGTTCCACCAAGATGTTCTTTCTACGGGCTTGTAGAGTAAGCCGCAAAGTAACCGACAGGCAGGCATAAATAGCGTAGGGCGTCCCGGTCCCGGTCCCGGTCACCAAAGATTCAATCCTCATCTCATCACCCCACTCTGCGGCAGAAGAGGATTTCTTGCTTCTACTGTACTTGAGTAAGCCAGGTATCGTGTCCTCTTCTTCGGAGTCTTTGATTTGAGTCTTACTAGAGGACCCTACATTATCTAACCTACCTATCTACCGGGTGATTTTAAATTCCCTCCCTCTCTCCCTCTAAAAAAAATTGTAGCAATATTCCTCTACTCTTCCTCCCGCAAACGCAGACGCCACAATGAGACGAAAAAGCTTCAAGCCATGCTCAAGCCATGCCATGGCATGGCAACAAGGGTCGACATATATTTCTCCGAACGAACACCTCCACTTTACTTGAGGCTTCCAGTCTCACTCATTAAAACGAGGTCATATCCGATCTGACCTTTGTCATTTGCGAAGTTCTTTTTGTTTCTTGTTGATCTCTTTTGATTCGGATTCAGATTCAGAATGTGCGGTATGGTATGGTATGGTATAGTATAGTAGTTTCCGCCGCCCGGTCGGTCGGTCGGCAGTTGTTTTGATGTTTGATTCATGAGGATTTAGAAAGGGCTTGCTTTGGCAAAAACAGCCCCAGTCAGTTGAGTTGCGCTCATACTTCTATATTCATAATGGTCATGATGATATTTATCTAAATCCAACCACCACAGACTCACAGAGATCTTCAAGATCATTTCATGCTGCAGTAGCCTCACTAGTGTAGAATACAACTTCATAAACTTACCTACGAGGCTACGCTCGGTTTCCTGGTCCCTGGGACGACCTACTGCAGTCTGCATAGCATTCTTCTTGGAAGTCATAGCCACGATGTACTGCACGGTAAATTCATAACATCCATCCATCAATCCGGGTTTTTGGGATTCGATTATAAAGTAGGTAGCTTGGCTGGAAATCGGCTATCGGTCGTCTTTTTTTCTTTTTTTCTATTTGTGCTGGGTGTATGTAAGTAGCGAACTTGAGTCTTGATGATATTATTGATGAATTGATGGATTTATGAATTAATCTTTACGGAGCGCTATCCCCTTATCAATATCCTTCTCTCTGTACTCTATAGTTTTTTCCTAAAGTACTTGAGTAGGTAGATCAATACAGTACCATAAAAAAAGACCCCTCAGATCCATCATCCACGGTCCACCTTCCTTCCTTCCACCTTCCACCTTCCATCTTGGAGGAACAACGAACAGACGGCGGGGACCTTACCTTACGCTTTGATGGTGGAAGGGTGGATTCAAAGTCTGTGTGTGGAATGACGGTGTCGGTCAACAAACTTTACTTTTTATCCGTACTTTTACTTTCCGCGGGATGTGATGGGATGGGATGGATGGGATGAACTCTCCAATAAACGACAGCAAGTTAAAAGTCGTAACGTGGAATACTTTATTCTTCTCGAAGAAAATTAAATGAATAGGATGGAACCTATTATTAACCAATTAGATTGCTCAAGTGCCTTGAAGGGCTTTAAAGTTTTGATCTTGAAGTTAATTGAGGTAAGAAGGTACTAAGTGCCGCTTTGGTCCCTTTGCCAAGACAAGGATTGGGGTGTGGTGTGGTGGGGTTGGATGATGGGATGGGGGGATGGGTTCTAGAAGTAGGAGTAAATATCCCGATTTTACCGAAGAGGAAGGAAGTGGGATTTTTTGGAGTGAATAATCATGTTTGTTGGGATGCCGTTGTTGATGGTTTTGTTGGTGGTTTTATAGAAGGAGTTGTAAGCGCGATTTTCGGGGGGCAATAATACGAAGTAAGAGTGATGTCTAAGCTATGACTTGATATAATATAATAGACAGGTCTTACTCTAGGGTCGCTTACTGTCTTATCGTTGCGGGATCGAGGGTATTTAACAAAGCAAACGCCCTACGGGTAAAGCAAGTACCTAACCTCCACTCCATACAAATTAAAAAAGATATTATATATAACTTATATAAAAAATAAAAGATGAAGAAAAAACAATAACATGTAACGTGTAAGTGATTTACTAATCTACTTAGTTATATCTTAGTAATCAACGACCTGTTTTTCCTTCTTATAAGTTGAATATCTTACTTCTGCTGTACTCTATTATTGATGATAGGTTACTAAGTACTTTTGTAAACGGATTGTAATCGTATTGTATATGATTTCTGGGATTATAATCTACTTTACTCTGCCTTTGCCGTCCCGTCGTAATAATGTATTTCCTTCCTCCGTCCGCAATTGTTCTTACACGAAAACTCACTCCTGGCCGCCTTATCGAAATCAGACATTTGGTATAAAAACTCAGACTGGGAGTTCGCGTAAGCTGGTCCATGGGAAAGTGAACAGAAGGGCGGGCAACCATGGGATTCGTTCACGCGTTTTGGAGACGCGTTGGGGAGATGACGTCTTTTGTTTTTTGTGTGTTTGGGGGAAGAGGGAACGCGTGAAGGACGCGGGTTTGGATTATTTGTTGCTTGTTTTTTTTCTTCTTTTGGAGAGGGTGTGGTGATTGGTGGGGGCGTTATGGGCGTTTTAAGTAGACGGCGACGGCCAAGGGGCACGGGGTTCTACTTCGAAGTAGAAGCTTTGGGGTGTGTGGTTAGGGATGGATGGGATGGGATGTCACGTTTTCTTAGGATCTGGAATTTGTGGCTCAGGGCAAAGTAGGTAAATTTACCTCGACTAGAAATCACATCGTCGTTAACCTCCTGGATTAAATCTACTCTACTACTGTATCTTCAACGAACGAAAACCTCCAGCATCGTTCCATTTGGCCATGTCACCGAGTTTCTACATAGATACGCTCATCTTACCAGGTACGGAGGTATAGCTGACAGTCATATCACCAGTACTACGAAGTAACTCCGTCCCATCTCCAGTTCAGATAAAACTCCGGGGTACGTACGGCTGCGGCTACGGTGCGGTTCTGCACCCGGATGGGATGGTCTTGGTCGGAGAGGACGAAAAAGGGAATTGGAACCTGGGGGCTTGGGCTTGGGCTTGGGGTTTTCGTACACTCCGTACCGAGTATTGATCGACCTGGGTCTTGATTTGTTTCGCGTTTCAGGCCTGGTCTCTCGGTCTTGATGGGGACGGAGAGGGAAGGATGGAAAGGAGCGGCGGAAGGGAAGGGAAGGTTTGTGAATTTGTGAAGTTTGTGAAGGTGTGGGATTTTATACAGAAATGTACTTGTACTTGTACCACTTGGTATAAAAGAGTACAATACGGCGCCAAGCGAGTGCGAGGCCCATCCACTTCAGCCTTCCTTCCTTCCTTCTGTTTTGGATGCAATGATACGAGTATGACGGGATGTATGTATGCGTTTCTGCTTACCTGAGCGAAACTGAACCAGCAGAATGCTTCGCTCGCTCGGTCGTTGGTTTTGTTGGTTTGACGTAATGTGTAATAAGGTGATGTGCGGAATGCTACTGTAAGCTTACTGATTGTTGTACGGTATCTACTCTGGTAAGGCTGGGAGGCTGAGCTGGGAGGCTGGTTGATAATGAGGGGAAGGCGGGATGGAAACGGGATGCGATGGAGGTTGTTGGTGTTGTCGGGGGGAAGGGTATGTAAATCTATGTATGGGTGCTGCGCTATTGGGAATGGCGTTGGCGATGGGAGATGAGGGTAGAAGTTGAAGTTGCAGTTGAAGTTGAAGTAGAGGGGGGTGAGCGCCGTTGGGGTAAGATGGAAGGGAAGGTACATTAAGTAGTAAATGGTGAGTGGTAAAAGATAAGCAGAGTGTTCAAAGACAAAAGGTTGCAGAATCCCTCTATTGAGGTGAGTTTGTTTTTATATGTTGCATCGCTTAACTTTGCTTTGGCAGCTTTGTTTGGCTTCGTACTATCGTTCTCTTGGATCAACGAAGTACTCCTTGGTTTTTTGATAACACTCCTCGGCTCTGCTCTACTCTGTCTTTGTCTTTCCCCTTGTCTTTTTGAAAATAGGAGGAAGAGGAAGAGAAGAAGAAGAGGAGAAGAGGAGAAATGGGAGGAGAAGAAGAAAAGTCGTGTGAGGGCTGGTAGTGATGGGAAGAGGGTTGTTGTTTAGTTGATACAAGTATAATAAGTAGAGGTAGATAGTGGTTTTTGAAGGGGGGGCCGAGAAAAGAGAGGGTCGCGGACATATATTTTGTGAATTCATCACAATTTTCTGTTCTCCGCTTTTTAATACATAAAGGGTCTGGACAGCTCGGGTCTCCCCCCTGTATACGAGTTGTTATAGGCGGGGTATAACTCCACAATATAGCCCTCTGAGCCAATTAAATTGTCCGATTCATGTGGAGGTAAATTAGAAAGTGACAAGGGGGGGAGACCCGAGCTGTCCAGACCCTTTACTTCACAGGAATGCGTTACGTAAGAATTATGTATGCATAGGTAGTGTTTTTTGCATGAACCAGAAGGGAAAGAGGGAAATTTGATCTGGGTACCGTATGGAAAAGCTTTTTTCTTACCGTTGTGCCGTTTTTAGGGTCAAAGCTCATGTAAATTACGTTTGGATCCACGATGTGACTCCACTGGGTGAGTTGTACAGAGATTGCAGGGATCGCGGCATTCTTACTATAAGAGCCTCAGGCCTCAACAACGAGGAACGAGTTGCTCGCGAGGCCCGCTTTGAATTAGGATGGGATCGCGGTGACGTCCACTGCCATATGTCTTTTTTTTCTTCTCTTTTTCTGAAGTGTTGAGGGAGTGGTTATTTTTTTGTTATAGGTTGGTGTTATGCGAGATATAGAAAAGTGAAGGAAAGGAGAAGTTGTTGAGAATGTATATAAGAAATCACATGATTGTAATTCACCTATTCGTCTACGTAGGTATTCAGTATAAATAAAGAAGAGGAAGACTTTATCATGAAACTCACCGCCATCCCAGGGCCATACAAGATCCATATTCCGACCAAACTCTTCGCAACCCCATATTATCACATGCTTCCAATCAAACCTCCTCGTCTGAAATTCCATGTCTGATAAGCTTTATACCCCTTCTTCTACACACGAGCTCATATCGTTCCTGCTGCGTACCTGTGAACGAAAACCTAGGTAGTTCACTTGCCTCAAACTACAAGTCATTTGGGATCCGTTGTCCTGCAGTAGCAGCTGTAGGTCGAAAGAGTGTTGGGTGAGAGGGCGCAGGGGAAAGTTTATTTTATTCTATATTTTTATGGTTTAGACGAATGGGTAGGGTATGTGACGTGAGTTTAACCCCACACGTGCATGAGAATGTTACTGGCAGAATGTATGTACTGTATGTATGTATGCGTTGTAGATCGGTGCAGGTAGACTATTGAAAGTTTGACGTTTGAATTTGGGTTTGCATGCGGTGAGGGGTTGGGAGGGGTAAGAGGGGTTTGGGGTTAGGCTTGGGTGTTGGGTTACGGAGTATAAGCATGTGAGTTGAAGTGGGGGAGGGCTATATGGAGATTGGTCCTTTTGTCTTTTTTTAAGGGAAAGCAGCTAAATATTGATAAGCTTCGAAGAACTCAAACTATAAGGGGAAGAATGTTCTGGGATTTTATAATGAAGTTGTCCGCACTGAGTACGGACGATTGATACTTCTCTGTCAATTGTAGAGAGCGTTGGACAAGAGCTTGTAGCAAGAAGTTCATTTTAGGAAGGCTTAGGAAAGAGGTGTGTCTTCTATATATATTGAATCATTGCCCCACTTAAAATTGTGGAATGTCCAAAGATGAAAGTCGAGTCTTTTGCTCTCAAGGCTAAAACACCTTCACCTCTATTTATTACCGTGCTTCATCGTCTCTAATAAGGACGATCCTACGGTGCTACCTAGGTAGTATTCAAGGGTAAAGTACATACAAACAACGTAGACGAGAGACCTCTACAAGTTAAAAATCCTTATTTATTATCACTCCTTCCACATATTGACTTACAACGAGCCATGTCCCGCCACGTTCGGAATCTGTCCCCAAGATTGTGAACTTATCGAAAGCTACTCTCCAAGTAGCGAGAAAAGTAGTCTCGCTAATTCCTACTAGGTACTCGCCGGCGCGCCTCGCTTTCCCTCGCTTCCTACACTAGTGCCACGACTTTAAAACAACAAACTAATCCCAAAAGATCCGCAAAAATAAAGAAATTCGCAAGAAATTAATAATCAGATGATTTGAATCGATCCCTCAGGCGCGAGTCGAACGCGCGACTGGACACTTGTTAGCAAGTGGCTGAGAGCAATAGGAGTGTTGGTATAAGAACTTACCATTCCGGTGAGACTGAACAATTACAGCCGGACGCCATAAACCAACTAGACGACCGAGGGTGGATAGGTACGATTTTTTTTGTTGGAGAAGGATGGGTTATTTGAGGCCTTTGAAGAGGGGATTTCGGGGGATTCGTGGCATTGTTTGGCCGAACGGGGTTTTTAGTTAGTTGAGATAGAGAGCGACCTAGATTAAGCTTTATACCACTAGTATCCCACTTAGTGACGGATAGTTGAACATTTCAATACTATAATTACCATGTAAAACTTTACACAACTTCGTCACCTTCCCGTTAACGATGTTTTGGGTAGTGTTTTTATTGTTTTATAGTTTTTTGGTACTCTAGGTCTAATCCGTTACAGTCTAGTCCTTGAGTCTTTGTAATTTTCTCAAGAAGACAGCGCAAAGCGTAACATAAAAGTAGGAAAGATAGGAACAGTTTTGTCCTCCGCTAAAAAGCCTCTTGCTTATCCCTCTTGATATACCTTCCAGTACATCATCATCCTTCATGATATGGTTTGAGACAAAACCCCAATGTTCCTGGTATGGTAATCCTCTGACAGAAGCAAATACAAAAGAAAAGGAAAAAGAGAAGACTCCTCGCAAGCACCCTCCTTCTCCCGAGCCTTGACTTCCGCCCTCATGGCTTGACAAAACCGTCTACCCTCACCATCCCCAACTCCTCCTATTCTCAATCTGAGCATATCTCTCATCTAAAAGAAACTCCCGCTCCCCCACCAAGAGTTTCCTGATCTACCACTCATCCGAGTACTCCATCTTTGCTCAGGCTGCCCCCCCTTCTCATCATCCTCGCCTGTACGTCGTCTTCTTAAGAAATGCTGAACACTGATTGGTCTTGTGATAGTATCAACGTCAATCCGGACCTGATCAACTTCTCCCCGGCAAAGCGGGCATTTGTTTTGAATGTCTCGGACGAACCATCGGCGGAGACATTCATAGTGGAAGGCATGTTCGCAGGGAACGGTGATGGTGACCGCGTCGGATCCTGGGGGGTAAAGGCGCTCAATGCAGATTGGGCAGTCGGTTTCGCCATCTGCAGGGAATGCACTTCGCTTTCCTGTATTGGATGGACGAGCAGTGAAAATGGAACTTGTACGATTGGGAGCCCTAGCTCGTGCCGAAGATCTAGTATTTCGAGTGTAGCCATCGCTTCTCTCGGAATAGGGATCGTAATCACTGCCATAACTAGTGTAACTACCGTAGCCAATTCGTTCTCCATCGTCGACAAAAGAGTTATCACTTTCCATCGAGGTGAGCCCTCCGTGACCTAGGCTTTGTGTTTCCATATGAGATCTATGTAGAGCACGTTGCATGTCAAGATCCTCAATCTCTGCTTCATCTTCGTTGTCTTCGTCGACTCGATCATGTATAAAACGCCATTCCTCATCAGTCAATTCTGCGAGATCATCTTCGTCGGGACCTGAGCTATAATTGCGAGCTCGCACCGGCTGACGAGGACGGTCAGGTAAAGATGATCGGGGTCGGGGTATAGTGCTTCCGCGTGCCTCAATTTGCGGGTCAGAACCTCGTCCTGAACGGGAATAACGCGAGGGTGTGAAAAGGTCACTTCTCGAAGAACCCAGTGGACGAGATTCTCTTGGTGAGTTTCGTGTGGACTGGTCTCTGCTTGAACTGTAGGTGATATTATTGTTTGACTGTGCGGAACGACGAGCGCGGGCCTCTTCATAATCTCGCCTACGATTTTCGATACGTGCTAAAACACGGTCTGCAGTTTCCCCCAAACTGGCTCTATGGTGCCCATCTTGTAGAGCCGGTCGTCGGGGTGATGGCGGTCCTCGCGCGCGGCCAGACATTTTGGATGGTCGGAACCGTGTATTAATATTTGCTGTTTGTGATCTTGAGGGGTAGGACTGGTACAAACTCTGAAATAGAGAAGATGCAAATGCCAGGGGTCGGTGGAGGATGTCCTTGGTGTTGATATTATAGGCAAGTTGGACTCGTTTGGTGGGTATTTGAAAGCCATTATGGGGCTCTGCAGGCCATGATTTAAACTCTCCAGTGTATGGTGAATTGCTTCACGCTGATTCTTGGAAGCCAACACAGTATTGCTGAGAGGGTTCCTTTTCCAAATAATTCACCCAGACATGGCGACGATATTAGGTTGCAGAGCACATAACAGCATTAACACACGGCATTCACCTGAGGAGTTTCTTCTAGTGCTGTTACACAAGGCTTTTGATTGTTTAGTGAATATGAACAAGAAAACAGAAATGTTGTTTATGTCATGTGATGTGGGTATTGACTGTCCACTTACCACACTCAACTAAGCGAGTTCTAGGTGGCTCTTCGTCAGTGAATAGAAGAATGGTTGAAAGTTTTAAGGATGATGCACACCAGGCTTAAAGCGGTTAGATTAGCCATTTGAAACCAATGGATTCTGTATGGAGTAAGAGAATAGTAGAAAAGACAGAGACTCACTTAGTATATGATATTTTCTCAGCCCAATTTGATTGTTCAATAAAATCTTTATGCTAGAGAAACAGATATGGGAACCAACAAAGATATAGCACAATACCATTGTCTTTTTCGGGAAACCCGTACTAGTTTCTTTATTGCAACTTAAGGCAATACACTGACTGCTTTGTTGCCCCTTTTCCTCCTCTGTGTGCCAAATTCGTGGCAAAAAGTTGAACAGTAATGGCTATGACCTGTCAGAAAATTATAAAGCTGGTAGCTCCAAGGTATAGCATTATATCCGGAAACAATTCGCTAAAATCAACAACCTTTACAAAAAACCAGAAGTTAAACTTACATCATGTGTATTAATATTAACATCTCTAGGCTTTGTTGTACGCACGAAACAAAGGCCCGGCAACGCTGTACTGAGGACATCACGACCAACCGTCCTTGCCGATTTCAACACCTCTATCCACTCAATAGAAATATCGAAGTCGATCTGGATTACACTCGTACATCCTGTCTTGCAAATCCCGTTAATTATAGTTTGGAGGGGCATCAAACCCCTGTGCCTGCGCTTTCCTTTCCGGGATCCAAGCTTCTACCTCCTTATTTCTCAACTCCACCGGAGCTTCCTAACCAGTTACCTTCGATGCCTCCTTATAGCGAGGGCTTTATCAGCACTCTGATGAGAAGGTATGAGCGAGTCATCGATGGTTGTTTGGACCATCCAATTGGCGGAGACCCTCATAGCTTTAACCGAGTCTCTTTTCTGGACTCTGAATTTCTTTCTGGGGCCTGCTCATATTTGGAGTATTCTATTCGATGCTTAATGCTTGAATGTGTTTCCAATACCCGACATCCGATTCCGGAATCTTACCTCTCAATCGTCAATAAGGATAGATTATCGTTTTGGAAGGACTTCCCTAAGGAAATAAGAAGTCAATTCAATCTTCTTCATTTCCTTCGAGAAGCGTCAACTGTTCTAAAAGCCAACGAGTTGCTGATTGAAACTCTGAGAGTAGATCTAACACTGTGGGATTCCATACTTGGAAACACCGTAATGACAACTGAAGTGTCGCCCCTCAAGCCTGTACCTCTCACGGACTTGGCAGACCACGAGAAGGATTGCTTCATCTGTCTTGAAACCATAGGATTAATTCGAATCAACGAAAGCACAGGTGAGAGCTCCCCAGCAGAAGCCCCAGTAAGGTTCCGCTGCCCAGGAAAGCACGCCTTTGGAAGGTCATACATTGGAACGTGGATCAAGGACAAGGAGCCCGTCACTTGTCCGTACTGTCGACAACAGCCCGCTCCAGACCTCAGTATCAACGAGATCCCTCACATTAATGAACCTGGCACACCATGGTGGATTGCGGCTCTAAGAGGGGAACAGGTTCATGTGGAAATTACTGAGCTCTGGGGAGAGGGCAGAGAGAATATTGGTCCACATGCTCGTGATATTGGTGTTACTCAGGAGGAAATGGTTGAGATTTAGGAGAATTGAGAATCCTTACTTGTCTCCTGTTGTTTCCTCTGTCTCGACAGGGTTTTGCTACTAAAGTCCTACTTTTCAATAAATTTCAATTTCTTTTAATACCTTTCCTCTCGTTACTGTCGCTCTCTCTTGTTTTTCCTTGAAAATAAAGTTATCTCTCCAAATAAATATCTCCGAAGCGGTGGTATCGCATCCATACAATTCGTACTGCTAAGTGCCTTTTATGTAAACAAAACTTTGAAAAAACTGACTCTGCCTGTTCTTCTCTTTATTCTTGATGTTTGTATATGGTAAATTTCATTTGGCGTGACTGTAAAGATGAGTGATACGCGGAACAGTTTCAGTGTCTCTCGATTAGGGTCTCGATAAAGAACAAAATTCGGAGATACCTTTGAGTTTAAAAATAAACAATCAATTGTACTCATACTACAGAGACAGCATTAACTGTTAGCACTGTTTCAGAATTGATAAAGCAAAAGAGTATTCAAGTCGTTATAATCTAAATGGATGAGGTTTCTATTTAGTCGAGTTTATGCTAAGACACTTGTAAGACAGCTAGCGAAATAATGGACACACCTAGGTTAGAAGAATATATCTTTATCAATGTGAGTTATTAGGGACAATTAAGTTGACTGTTTTAGAATTTCTAGTTTAATAGGTCCTTGGGATATGTACAGAGTTTCGTACAACTGTTTTGCATGATTTACTGCTACATCTTTTAGTTATGGTAATGCTTTATGAGCATCCGCAGTTGTGAGTAAAGTGGCTAACCCGAATAAATCTCACATCAAAATCTTTCCTCAAGTATGTTTCCAAGTAAAGCTTAGGCGACCATCAGCTTCGGCGGCTGTAGACATCCGCATTTTGAGGCAGGTGATATTAAACCCACCCAAGGAAAGCAAGATAAGCGCAAGCAAGAGCATAGCGTAACCAGGTACTTGTAACACATAAGACTAAATTGATACGGGGATAAGCGGGATTAAGTTTGAATACCACATCGAAAAGCCTCAATGAGTTCCCGTCATCACTTAATGCTAAGTCCGAAGATACAGATATGGTCTCGGAGTTTAGCCTTCCCCATGGAGTATCAAAATGCATCTCGAAGAAGCCCAGAAGTATAATAGTTGGGATTCAGCACGGTGATCTAATCAGAGACCATTTTCCAAAGAACCACGATTACGTCACACAACCCCGCATACAGTAACACGCCTCCAGCTGGTCAAAACAGTAACTCCGTAAACTTCAATTGGGAACACTCGGCGAACAAACAAAAACATCAAAATGGTCAATGTTCTCCTCCTCGGTGCTACAGGCTACATTGGAAAAGAGCTCTGCCACTCGCTCGTCCGTGGTGGTGACCATCGTGTCTACGGACTCGCACGAACCGCAGAAAAAGCAAAAGATCTCGCAAAAGAGGAAGTGATTCCAGTCATCGGTTCCGCCTCAGACACCCAAGAACTGCTGAATTCCATCGAGAAATACCGCATCGATGTCATTGTTGATTTGATGGGTGCAGAGCTCAACACTACGAGACCTCTTATCTCGGAGATCAAGAGAATCGGAGCTGCGAGACTTGAAGCTGCCTCAAAATCCGATCTCAGGATTCCGAAGCTAGGTTTTATTTACTGCTCTGGAACCTGGGTGCATGGGAGCTCGAATGAACCTGTTAGCGATCTCACGCCAGTCGCAGCTTCAAACTCGCCTACTCCCCCTGCTAACTGACTTCCTGGCGAACCATTGTGGAAAAAGAAGTACTTGCTTGTTCAGATGTACTGGATGTCATGATTGTCAGACCGGCTTCGGTATATGGAAGATCTCATCCGATCTGGGGTATTTTCTTTGGACCAATCCACGCTGCATCACAAGGATCCAGTTCGGTGGAGCTTGCCGCTGATCCAGAGAGTCGTCCAGGACTGGTACATGTCGACGATGTCGCTTCTGGTTTTCATGCCGCTATCGAGAAGCTCCCTTTGATATCCGGAACTGGAGTTTATCCGGTAATCGATCTAGTGAGCAGCCAGGAAAGCATGAAAGATATCTTGAACTTTGTGGCGAGAACGATGGGGTTCAGTGGAAAAGTTGAGTTGGTTGGTGCAGGTGATGATTTGTTCGCGAAAGCTATGTCTACAAGCATGAATAACCACTCGGCCAGAGCAAAGCAGATCCTAGGTTGGGACCCGAGGAAGACTAGTTTTGTGCAGGGAATGGACATTTATGAAAAGGGATTTGTGGCGGCGACAGTATGTGGAGGGGGGAGTTGAGCTCGTGAAAGAGATGCGACTGGAAGGGGTCAGGGCTGGCTTAATACAAAAGGTTGTACAAAGGCTCATAATCTGGGCAATGTTTTTAGAGACCAAAAGTACTATCGTATCAAGAGATGATTGTTAATTGATTATAGTAATTGTGGCTGTACATGCACTTTTTCCACTATACTCTAAGTCTCCAGAAAGCGTGGGAAGTGTAACAAACATTGTGTCGAATTGGAAATATTTCTCGTCGCTGGGATTTTGTTGGGGCATCGTGTCTCAGTAGATATCACTGCAGATTCGATTGAGAGCGTAATCTTCACGGTACGGAATTCATAATCCTGAGTCTGACATGGCAAATATCTAGGTGAACCTATTGTTCCGAAGATTTGTGTCAACTCTTCATGGGAAACAAGTCCGCGAGAAGGGGAATTTCATTTCAATCTCAATTGTGTGACTCACCACTGATGAAGTCAAAATTCATTATGATTATGTGCGTTCTATCCCGTTATTATGTATAATAACATATGTCCCAGAAACATCTCCTAAACCCAAATTCAAATCAAACCTATTTACAATCTACCATCCTGCATCGAACTCTTCATTCTCATTCCTCACCTGCTTTGCCTCTACAAACAATCTCATCTTACAACAGCTGTCCCTACTGTTCCAGCTCCTTCAGCGCCTCTGAAGGTAATCATTCGCGCATTGACTGCTTATTCGAGAACGCCCCCAGATCCCTATTTGAACTTGATCCAGGAAGAGTCGGCTTTGGTTCTCTTTTCAAGACCTTCCTTCCTTCCTTGAACTACCTTGCTCCTGGAGTTGTCGTAGTCTCTTGACCTCAGTACTGAGCTCTTGGAAGACACATTTCCTCACTTCCTCTTCAGCTTGTGTTCTGGCATCTGTTGGCGCAGAGGATGCAGAGGATGCAGAGGATGCTGGGGTCTTGAGTCGAATGGGGAGATCAATGAGTTTTCCCTTTTGGTAGGGGATCCATTCAACCCTTGGATTTTCTTGCGATTTCGTTCCGAACTTCTTTTCTGTTGCTAGCATTGCTGGTTGTACCGCACAACGCTTGGGGCGCATGGGCAGGATGAATGATTTGCCTTGCTCATAACCTTTCCATTCAATCTTTGGTTGTGGCTGGCTACAGGAACTAGGCAGTGGTTCCGTGATTGGAATTGCTGGTGGCGGAAGATATAATGGTGAGATTGCCCGAAGAGGAGGAACAATTGTCTGTCTATTCTCACGTCTACTGCTGTCCTCGATGGTCATGAATCTTTCAACCATCTCCCCGTCAGCGAAGGGCGATAGTTCCAGAGAAGGGAGAGCAGGGGCGATATCTGTTGCGAAACCATCTTGCCCTCTAAATTTGACCATCTCACTCATCTTGGTCAGCGAGGATGGCAGTGTTCCCTTCGTGTAAGTAGGAAGAGGAAAAGCGATGTCACCTCCCTTTTCATCGAACGAATCCAGTTTCAAGGTGAGTTGTGATCTGGCTTTCTCAAGTTGCTTGGTTCGAATTCTTTCCATTCCCATTATCTTTTCGTCGATCTTTTGTTGGTGCATGCGTCGTCTTTGTTGCATGGTGTTGTAAATTATATCTATATCTGATATCAGTATGGACTCACAACCGATTAAAGCAGAAATGAAAGAGAATGGGAAAGGGAAAAGGAAGGTTTTATGGATACAGAGGTGATACATACAACTCAACAAAACCAGAAAACTAAGAATCCCAAAGCCCAGAACGAAAATGGTACCGGCGTTCCAGGTGAGGTTCTCAGGAGTAAAGCCTGTCGAATGACTAAAGTGAAAAGGTGCCATGGTTACGTTGCTTAAAGGGTTGAGATTGAAAATGGTTTTGAGGAAAGGTAACTTGATTATGGGGATCTTCGAGGTGAGAACTTTGTCAAAGAAGGAGAAAGAAAGCTACTGTATTTATTTCTAAGGCGTTTGCGTTAGTCTGGGTGATGAAAATCTAGAAGAGGCCTGAATTGGTTACACATTTTTGAATTGTGATGAAGATAACATCATCTTGGAGCTAATTTCCAACTAAACTCGTTCGTTATCTTAGCACGCACATTCTTTTTACAGTTTCAAAAGAGATATTCCAGCAAAATTGTGCTTGTTTCCTAACCCTCCAGACTAATTCCAAAACTAGAAATTATGATGGTCTATTCCTGTGTGACGATTCATACGCTTTTTTCTGTGATACTCGGACCACCCAAGTACAAATTGGTGAGACAACATGTGAAAACTATTAAGATGAAAGGGGGAAAATGAGCGCATATAAGTTCAATTTAGCGTGCCATTCTCGACGGTCGTTCCTAGGGGTTTCTTTCTTATGGACTTGAGCCAACCTACCTAAGCGAAGAAGTACGTCGATCACGTGGCAACGCAGCTCTCCTCACTTTTTAACTTCCTTAAACGCGTTATCAGTTCAGTGACTGGTCTTACAATGAAATCGAGTTTCGAAATCCAACATCTATGTTGAATGTCCTCAAAAGGAGTCTTGAAAACGCGGGTAAGATCCCGTGACCTTCACCCCTTCTCTTTCCTCAAGCACTGCTTATTCTCCCCGCTACAAATCACCCCATCCCCCCCCCAAGCAACTAGCTTTCCCCGCAAACCGCTAACTACCCCTCACAAACGGTCCTACCCAACTAGCCTTGTACAACCAGGTACCTAGGTCGTTAGTTCAGCCTCAATCCCCACATGATGCAACAACACTTTATCCAGAACACGAGTTCTTAGTACGTCTGGTAAGCTATCGGTAGGTGCATGGAAATGGCAATACGATGTTACATCAATATTTATCGTGCTTTATGAACGTTGCCTTGCTGTAGTGAGGGGTGTGTTACACTTGATAAATAGAAGGCTTGAGAACTAAATCCGTTATTTTCGATTTCTTCGTGCACTGCAAAAATCCCCAATATGGCTCGCTTGACTCAATTCTTCGCTGTTGCAGCTGTCTTGCTGAGACAGATTGTCTCTGCAGATGAGACGATAACTACAAGTCAGTCCTGTTCCAGTTTTTCTACCACCCAATTCTCACCCTCAATTCTCAATTCTCACCTCCAAACTAACAATGCTGTCAAGCAACCTCCACCCCCCTCCCAACTCCAACAAATTCGTATAGCCAACACTGCCCAATCCCCAGCACCCTAACGATAACCTCCTACATCGGTATCACAAACCTCACCACCGTACCCGCGACCCCCTTGAACGTCACTTTCCGCGTAAGCTACGGTTCCAGCGATTCCCAAATCGCCTCTCTATACGGGAACAACGATTTTCACTGTCCGCGACTAGATATAGGTACTGCCACAACTTGGAGCCCCTACAATGGACAATGGGATCTGTTGTGTGATTATAACGGATTGGTTAGGGTGTTTACTGATGGGGAGGGGAATTTTGGGGAATGGGGGGTAAGGAGATGGTATTTCTGTGAGGATGCTCCGGCGTATGTCCTCTGTTCCTATCCCTCAAGTTCCCCCTCTTCATAGCTGATTGACTAACGTTCTTCCCTCGCCATGTAGAAGAGGAAAGTACAAGTACTACACTGTAGAGAATACAGCCTCGAACTTTACCATCGCCGACTCTCTCGATTGCACCGTTTCATCGGATGGGATCAAGACATGTACACAGACTGAACCTGCTACCTTCCCAGTACAAGGCTATGCCCTCGGAGGGACCATGGGATATTCGACTATGGACGAGCAGGGGAGATGGGTGACGGGGTGTGAGAGTCGAGGTCCGGGGAAGAATCCTATGGTATTAGAGGAGGAGGGATGTGTCTGGGCTGCCGGGAGTGTGCCATGAAATTTGAGTTAATTTATTAGGATATATAATTACAAAACGGGAAAAAATGATAAACCCCCAAAACCATCTGGTATATGCTGAGATAACGATGCAGAAAAAATCAATGTGCGCATGGTTACCTATACTTACCAAGTAATCCCAAGCGGTCAGTTACTCCTCGAACTCCTGAAATGTACCTAAAAATGCATTCATTCCCTAACATTTGTTTTTATCCTGACCACCCTAAAATGAACCAGGTGAGCACAAATCCTGCTGTGCCACTTCATGAAAGCATTAGTCAAAATCTCGCCATGTAAAAGTGCAGAGGCGAAAACCCAATAAAGCAATACCGCAGCAAGCAACGAGTACTCACAGCTGTGCCACATTTTCAAATCGTTTATTTGCTCCACTCTTTTGTGTCGACGAAGATGACGATTTGCCATTCTTCTCCATGACCCACAATTCAGGATGTGGTTTATCAGAGGTAAACCACAATCTTCCTTTGTTGTCCAATAACAGTCCGACAGGTCGAAAACAGTCATCGGGACATTTTGTATTATCCACATTTTCGATAATGGTTGTCGAACCTGTTAAGCTGGTGGAAGGCGCAACAGGGAAACCATTCGCAAATGGGACGGCTCGAATCTTATACCCATCAGGGGGCTGGCGATCCCTACGATTCCAGTTAGTGGGTGTCAAAAGAGTAGGTTTGCATAGAGCAAATACCATGAACCGTGGAACGAAACATAGGCTTCAGATCCATTTGGTTGGAATTTGATATCAAGGGGCGCATTATGAGCGGGGAATACCATGACTGGAGGAATGCGTTCTCTGGCACAGAAATTATCGTTGACTGTAGCATTCTGGACCAGTGAAAATTGGGCTCCAACAGTCAAGTTACCAAGATTTGGAATGTTCGTATCATAAAGTCCAAAGCAAATCGGATAGCCATAATTACCACGATCGCTTGTATCGTTCAGGAATCCATGATAGTTCATCTCTTCACCTGGGTTGGTTTGGTGAATGTCGACTCCGTCTCTCTTCAAGTCATCAGCAGAGTTCTCCACACTGTAAATTCCTCCAGTGAGGGGCTCTTCTGCCACACCAACTGAATTACGAAGACCCCATCCCAAGCGTTGTCCCGTGGTCGCAAAGTCTTGTGAAGGAGAATCGGGTTTAAGGTTATTCGTATCCCAAGCTCGGAGTTGGGCATGTCCAAAATCCAGAACAACAGCCGCCTCATCTATGTTGGTATCGCTTCCTCGAGAGACGAGTAGTGTACCAGGTTTCTTCTGGGACATCAACAGCGTTCGCGTTACATGATCCTTATTTCCCATTCCGGTAATGATGGTTCGGTTCTTGCTGCTCACTGTGACATTATCCGCGTTGTAATCCCACGCATAAACCTTGTCAAGATCGGAGGCATAGAGGATCTTGCCATCATTCGAGAGAGCGATACCGTGGCCGAGCTATGGGGTTTTGGTTAGCGTAGAACTGCAATTGGGAGCGATTCTTCGAGTATGGCTTCTTACGGCGTCGGTCGCAATCAAAACGGTCTTCTTGGCAACCTCCAAACAAGTACCTCCGCCGTCATTAAATGTTGTATGTGTAATGCCAGTGCCCCAGTCAGCCATGATCATATTACCTTTGGGGTCCCAAATCATGCTTCGAGGAGAACTTAGATCGGTGGTAACCAATTGAGCACTCCAACCATCGTGGGTGACTGGTGCAGGGTGTGGAGGCTTGAGATTGCAAGACACTCCCGAACCACCTGCCTGGGCGGTAGCCAGAGATAGAGACGAGAGAAGAAGGGTGGTCTGTAGATTAGAAGAGTATTGCATTATGGCAACGAGTCCGTAGGAAAGAAATGCTGAAAGTAAGAGCAGGACAGCAACATATTGGTTTTGAAGGAGGGGTGGTACTCGGAACATAAGGGAGGGGAAAGACTTTGCTTCGAAGTCGCTAGCAATAAATGACAAGTGAATGCAACCTGGAATTGATTACGTCGGTGGTGAATGGAAGAAAAACCTACCAGTTGTGCTTTGAACATGTGGCGGTTTGCATATAAGCTTTCCTTGGTTAACTATCGGACGGGCAACAGAGAGTCTGAGAGCTTGATATTGATCGACAATGAGGTAGGAGTATTACTTGGCGATGCTTGGTATCACGTGTAGGAGACCTATTCCATTGTCAATGGACGCTATTCATTACTCAAACTAAAAAGTCTCTTGAAGGCCGTCAAGGGAATAGTAGAAAAAGATGGGGACTGTATCGTGAATGTAGAGTTATGTTGACGGTACCTGTGTGATACGTGTGATGTGACACAATATCAGTGGAAGTATGTACAGTACCTCACAGCAGGTCTGCTCAGTTGGATAAATCGAATTAAAAATAGTACTTCAAGAGTGGTGAAGAAAATCAAACAACTTTTCGAGCTCGATACAACGGAAAGCCGTCATCGTTAAATTTCATATTGGCAGCGAAGCAAATATCATCCCTAAAACATAACCAAAGTCACTGGAAATGTGTTTTGTATCATGCATGCCCAAAGATCTCTCATGCAGTATTGATTATAATTAATTGCATAAGAACGGAGTTCTAGTAAAATGTTCCATGTCCTTATTTGAATATCTCGCTTTTCGAATGCGCGCATAGAATTGTGCTCGATCGCATTTCTGCTAGTGCATCCTGGTGCAACTACCTGTTGTGGTTGTGGTGGGGAAGTGGTGCTTACATAATACTTCCCTAACCCCGATGTCAAAAGAATGTTAACCCCGAACAACATCGCATTCTTCAAGAATCTCGAGATTCTTGAGAGATTCTCGTATGCCGCTTTAGTCCCTCCATTCACCCCCAAAAAGCGGCGTCGACGCCACATTTCCTCAAGCGAACCACTAGAAACCCGTTCTCAGCGCCTCCCAAAAGTTTTGTTGCACATCGCAAAACGGACTTTCATCAAGGTAAAAAATGTTCAAGCCAATTTTTGAAATACCCACCAAATCTTTTAGGGGGATATTTTTTTATATTGTTGAAGATGTATACAATCATGAGAGGATATCTGAAGGGTAGAAGCATCCAGATGGTGGTGCTATTGTGAAGTGTTATTACAATGTTCTTCAATACAATTTCTTGATGAATTGGCGAGAAATGTTGGAGAGGATTGAAGACTTGGCGCCAAGCACATACCCCTGCACCCAAGTTGGTATTCACCAAGTTCCAACACCATACCCCAACCAGGCCATGCGGAAGAGATTGTATAGTCATTCAAAAGGCAATGTCGGAGCTGTCAGTTTGAACCTTCTTTACCAGGCTACGGACCAACGCCATTATGACTTCTCGCTTCTTTGGAATAAACACGATTCGCGGTGACGATATTAATTGCTGCCGCAAAAGATCGTGGGTCTACTTCTGTTGCTTCCAAAGACAAATATTGTTGGAATACATCGCAGATAGGAAGCAACTCAGGGTAGTGTTGGATTATTGGAGGCAGATATAGTACACTTCCCTTTGTACCCTTTGCTCCTGATACTCAAGATTGCCTAAACCACCCTTTTATCACGCACTATTGCACTTACCAAAGCCCAAGTACCAAGGCTCGAGACCTACCCTTGAAAATATCAACATGGCCTCTTCAACTTTCGACATCATCATTGTAGGAGGCGGAACAGCCGGCTGCGTGCTCGCAAACAGACTCTCAGAGAATGAGCATTACCGCATCCTCCTTATAGAATCAGGAGAAGACCTGACGAATGACCCTCGAACCAATGTCCCTCACTGGGCCCGCTTCTCATGGCTACAGATGCCAACTGGGGCTTTACGACAGTTCCCCAGGTAAGCGAGTCCTATTTCCAAGCAAATCTACGGTTACGCTGCTAATGAGTTCAAAGTCCAATCTCGGAAATCGCACTAATATGGTGCCTGCTGGTCGTTTACTTGGAGGATCAAGCGCTATCAACGGTTTCGCCTTTCTTCCGAATTCCAAGTTAAGCATTGAGACCTGGGCCAATCTTGGTAATCCAGGTTGGGACGAGGAAGCCTTCTCTAGATCTGTAGGACGATTCAGTCTAGCCACATCCCAATTCGCCAAGAATCCCACCAAAAGCCCTCTCCAGATCACTATTCGAGAAGAGGATACAGAGTGGCCGCGTGTATGGAGGGAAACACTTGCGACACTTGGATTTCCGCTTGCTCAAGATACATTAACCTCTGGTAACATCCTGGGAAGCGTAATGGGAGGGGAAACAATCGGGCTGGACAAGAAGAGAAGCTATTCGGCTAAGGCGTACTTAAACACAAATCGGTCAAAAGCCAATCTCACAATTTGGACAAAAGTCACTGCAGAACAAATTTTCTTCAAAAACAACGATTCTGGTGTCCCCACTGCAGTTTGGGTTACGATTCGCAACAGCGATACTGGGACTTCGAAGTCGGTCTTCGCAGATAAGTGAGTCATTCTGAGTAGTGGAGCGATCAATTCTCCGCGGTTACTGGAGCTGTCCGGCGTTGGTAACCCAAAGATCCTCGACCCGCTTGGAATAGATGTCGTTGTAAACAATCCCAACGTCGGCGAGCACTTGCAAAACCATCCACTTGTAACTGTTACCTTCGAAGGACGCGATGAGGAAGGATTCGATACAATAGACCAGATACTGCGCAAAGATAAAGAGGCTCTCTCAAAGGCAGGAGCGGCATATGCAAAAGGCTTTGGACCAGGAGCCAAAAGCAATTTGAATGTCCTCGCTCAACTACCAGTTGAAATAGACAACCAGCTAAAGGAGGCTTCGGATATCATGCTGCCGCAGTATCCAGATCCATCGACATCTCTAATCAAAACACACGAATCATTCGTCAGAGCCGTCATTACTTCCCCAGAAGAAGCCTCCGGATGTTACATGACCGCACCAGGTTTCCTGTGCCTCTCGGGAGCTGGATCCTTCGTCCCTTCCAATCCAGGGACAGAGAAATACTTCACAATAGGCATCCACCTCGCACATCCACTCTCTCGCGGCTCGGTCCACATCAAGTCATCCTCAACGCCACTTTCCCCGACAGACATATCTATCGATCCAAATTTCTTTTCACACCCCCTCGATATTGAGATACTTGCCCGGCACGTTCAGCTATCAGAGAAGATCGCCATGACGGAGCCTCTCTCACGCCATCTGAAACTAGACGGGAAACGCGGCCCTGGTATGCCGAAAGCTGGGGGATTTGCCGACATCACGGTTGCGAAGGAGTATGTTTTGGATAGGGCTGCAGGTGCTCACCATTGAACTGGCTCATGCGCAATGATGGCTCGGGAACTTGGTGGTGTGGTCGACTCACATCTCCGAGTCTTCGGTTGTGCTAATCTTCGTGTGTGTGATACAAGTATTATGCCTATATCACCTCGTTCAAACCCTCAGGGTATTGTTTACGCTATTGCGGAGCATTCTGCAGAGATAATTTTATCGACCTTACAATGATGGCTAGGAGGTTGACTGCGTCACACGGTGACAAAGTGCACATCCCATTGGCTGAAAACTTTGGATTGCTTATCTATACATTATTTCAATAATATGCTTTAAAGTCATACTTAGAGCAGTATGAGATGTTACATGAATTGAAAGCGTTACTATTCCAGCTCCAGTTCTTCAAATTCTCACCGCCTTGCCCGCTTCTTAATCATTCATCACTTCAACAAATCTCTGGAAATCAGAGGTCTTTCCTGGTCGTACTTCTTCTAATGGCTGAATTCGATAATCAAAAAGTCATCTATCCGTGTCGTTGGCATGTTCGACTATGGTGACCTCTCGACATAGAATTACGGAACTTGAATACAGCTTCTTTAAAGACGCAAAGAAACCACAAGATACCAAACCCAGAGCAATAAAATCAGGCCAACGTAATCATTCCGCTGACTGATTATTATCATTACCCCCTCAATATCAAAGGTAGCACAGAAAGATCAATCAAAAAAGCGTGCAAGAAATCGACCCCGGAAAGCTCGAAACTGTGGAGACCAAATTGCGAGGATACCGAAGAAAGAGAGACAGAAGAATAGCGCAAGCAGAACTCTTCCAACCAAGCTCTCCCACAACCACATTTGCAATACTCAGCAACCATCGCCAACGGTCAACCAAGCGATGAAAGATCCGACACAGAAGCCAGGGAAATGACCTCTCGCCACAGCATGGTAGATATGCATTCTGACATATGGTAAGTATGGAACGATGGATGAGGGAAATGATTGAGTAAGCATACACATGGTCCTTGAAGAAGTTTTTTGTCCTCCGCCAATTATATTCGTCATCGGTCTCGTCGATCAATCGCTCACTAAAGGGTATTCACGTTGGCATCTTCATCTCATGCAAGGTCAGAAGAGGTTTCCTTACTGAGCACGCAACCTGCAGAACCCTTTTTAGAAGAGTGCGCAATATACGAATGGTGGGTGCAACATACTTTCGCATTTCTTTTCTCATCCTACGAAAGTCCATAGATTAGTTTTTGCCCACCGTAAAGCAACATTTTTCCACTTACATATCCCAGAACTTATCATCGTCAAGCCAAGTAACTTGACTAGAGATGAGTCAGTGATGGGATGAAAGATGAATTGCCAATACTAACTCTTTGTATTCGGACGTCGCTTGGATTAAAGCTCGTCTTTGGTATTCCAGTGAGCCTCTGTACCTAGCCCGCAAATTGTACAAGAAACTCACATCTCGCTTCTGTAATAATGGTCAGTATTCTACAATGGTTTAATAGGATTATGGAAAGACTTACATGATTTCTTTTGTGCTGGGCGTTCGTCTTTCATTTCAATCAGAAAATAACACGCTGATCTGCGAAGTCAACGCTCACCTTTCCTCTTGTCGAAATCTATTGTGATAGAATTCCAGCTCCTCATCGATACTCCCAAATTTAGGCGGCACTGTATAGATATCCAGTCAGTGAAAATGTTTTGAGAATATAGATAAGTCCTTGACCGATGGCTCCCGAACTTATCCGCTTGGCCAGCTATTGAAATTCATATCGTATTCGAGAGAGGGGCACTCGAAACCGCAAAACAATCTCTCTCATGTAAGCAAGACAGACTTAAAATGATGCTGGGAGAATATTGGCCCTGAGTCTACCTACAGCCGCGAGCAGAGGATGTTGTGCATCAAGATGAGGAGGCTAAGGGAGGTTCTGGACTCACCGGACTCCATTCTGATCCGGTGGACGATGATGTCGTACGTGGAAGATTGCGGGAGAGTTGGGAGGTATCAACGCAAACTGGCGAGCTTTCACGTCGTTGCTGCGGAAGGTATATTCAAGAGGAAGGGGCGAGCAACATGGGAGGTCGCTCGGTCGGAACAGCAGGGCCACGATGAAATGTCAGGCACGAGCTCAAAACAGGGAGTAGTTCTCTCCTTTTCTGAGTACACTGCATTTGGAAATCCGTGCTCTACAGTCAGTTTCTGTTGGCCTCATGAGTTTGTGACAATGTGGTGATGGTGCACGCGCACCCAAAATCTCCATTACTCCCACAAAAAGTCCCCCAGCAGTACAAGACCACAATAGCCACCTCCAAGTTCCCTCACAAGCTCCGGAATCTTTTCTCAGCACAAAACCCATACACTCAGAAATCCCTCACTTGAGTCCCATCCCCCCCCCCAACAGCCTCCTCAAACATATCCTCCTCCCTTTGAGCCAGGCCGTGTAGCTTTTCTTCCTTCCTCTGTCTTTTACAGCGCCACATCTCTCTGCCTTCTCTTCGCTTTCCCCTTGCAGTATTCGTAAAGCAGCTTGCCTTAGATCAACACGACCATCCGCGGAGCTTAAACAAAGTTGAAATTAGGTATTTGCCATCAAGATTCAAGAAAGAGCATCGAAAGAACGACAAAGATCAGAAACGTTCAAGCGTTCCTGTTTCGTCGAGAATGGGGTGTGAGTGGAGAGGCTTAATAGACTTAAGAGACTAGTAGATTAAGGTACTATAATACTAGTTTTAATTCTCGGACTCGTGAATGAGGTGGTATGTTTGGGGAATCTTCATGTAGGACCTCGGGGTTTTTGTTTGATAAGTTGCGGAAGCTGATACTTAGGATTTCGCTACCCCTATATTGTTGTTAAATCCTTGGTTTCACGCAAGAATTGCTCCGGTAGCTATACTAACCCTACCCTCTACCAGAAGACTTAGAACTCTATACCTATTTAAAAAAAAAAAACATACCTCCCCCTACCTCCCTCTCTACTCTATACCTTAAATCCTTCTATATTTTATATTCGTAAGAAGAATTCCTTTAATTCTTCTAAAAGCTTTAATTTATTTAATTCATTTCTATTATTTCCGTTTAATTATCCTAGAAGCGTACCTATAAGAGTATTTATAGTCTATAGAAGGTCTTGAGCCTACCTACGTACACGACTTATAATATCCTTGTTAATATCCAAAAGGCAAGTACGATAGATACTCGTAACAAATCCCCCTAGTACCCCTACCTTTAAAATTTCGAGATATTCGAGGTAATTAATTCTTAAGTCTTATTATCTTAATAATAACTAGGTAATACATAAGTAGTAACTAAACAAACATTTACTACCTAATTAAAAGGCTAAAGCTTACTTACGTATTTAAGCTAGATGTAACGAATACTCAAACTGGCTAACTAAACTTGGCTGGGTGTTCGCTGGTTGGTATGCTATGATAAGAAGAAGACTATCGGGTTGTTCACTTGGAAGTGAACTCGTTACTTGTATCAAAGATGTCAAACTAATATGATAAGATTGATAACTAAGTTGAGCACGAAGCTCCTATCTAATGGCAGACGTGCCAGTCTTATATAGAACCTTCGTTCTACTGGATCCCTCCTGGATCCATCGGGGTCCATCACGTGACAACAACCAAATGAAATCCATGGATCGCTTAGCCGGCCTAAGCAATCCCTATTTGCTATAAGAAACCTGGATGTGCCTGTCGAGGGTTGCGCCTCTTTATTATGACAAGTATCACGTGAGCATGTGATTCGTGACACTAGACCGTTCTATATTAGTATTAGGTTATATAAGTAAATAGCGTATAGATATAGGTGTTACGATACTAGGGAAATTTAAATGGACAGGCGAGATTACAGATTTATTTCATGCTCTATAGAGAAGCTACTGCTTTCTCCTCGTTCTAAGTAGGTAGGTAGGTAGATACTAACGTGAGAAACGTGACTTGGGTCATGTGACACACTCCCCTTGCTACCAAGAATCCAGTCTACGGAACCAGACAAATCAGTTATACAGGAAAGTTGCTAATCGTCGAGAAAAAGAAAAGAGAGAAAGGAAAGCCAAGTCCTCCTAAGCTCGTAACGTCGCGTGCAGTCAACATGCAGCCTAAGCCTCCATCCAGATGCCGTGTCAACCAACCAAACTAGGTAGGGAAGGATGGTACTCTAGCTGGCTGCTGCTTAGAAATGCTATGCATGCCTACTGCAGCTTTCACGCATGAGGCTTTGACGACAAGGGCGTGGTATTCGTTCTTTTCGTCTCGGTGACTCACAGGTATCTTAGTTTATGTTTGAAAATGAATGGGAGAGATTGCGGGGAATTGGGTTTGCAGGGCGAGGTGGAGGAATGTTGGTGATGCTGCAGCTGCGAGTTGTGAGCAAAAGAAAAAGAAAGGTAAAGTGTCTTTTGATGTTGACCGAGTTTCCGGATTCGCTTTAGGATTATTGTTGCACCAATTATTAATATGGAGCTCCCCGATTTGCATGGGTTAGCAGATGGGGTTTTGTGGACAGAAGGGCGTATGTGCACCATACAGAGTTCATGTCAACAAAATCCCACCTTTTCCCTTGTCGGCGAGAGGAATTTGGATGACGGGAACAAAAATAATCATCGGCCTGAATTGATCCGGTCAGCAGTAGTAACCTGTGCTACTGCAGCTGCGGATGAAAGTTTGAAATTCAGCACACGCACACGGCGTACTGTTTAGGGAAAAAGAAACGGCAATGATCTGGCGGTGTCTGCTTGTTCTTGCGCAGTTTCCAAGTTCCTGTTCCTGTACGGCGTATCCTTGAGGATACGAGATAGGAGCGGCGTGTACAGTTCCAAGTACGGCGTGCTGTTTTGGTCCTAGCCGGTTGGTGGCCCTGGCCTAGCTGGCCGCTAGAAAAAATGTTTCGAGTTGGTGGGGGAAGAACAACACTCGTAGATGTTGGCACCAACCGTCAGGTGCAGAGTGTTTGCCCTCGTTGTTGAATATATGAAACGTTCAAACCCAACTTGGTCCATGTTTCAAAATGTTCCAAGGCCGCGATGAATGCTGTGCATACACAGGTTTCTGAATACGTATCCACTCGTAGGTAGCCGTAGGTATCCGTCCTGTACAGAGGCCCATTGTTTAGGTACCCACGAATCCACGATATCAGTACAGCAACCTTATCAAACGGAGCGCGGTCTTTCAGGCGGCACCCTCCCCAAGACTGAACCTGGGTTGACAAGGCGGCCCAGTGCGGAATTGGGGGCTGGAGCTTATCGGCCATTTGACCTGCGGAAGAGGCCGTGCGATATCGATATGGATATGTAAAGGACAGGGTTTAATACGGGGTTAACCACTTCCTTCGCAGGGCAGGGCTTCGGAGTAAAGGTCGGAGTTGAATCATCCCATTTTTAGAATTTGAGCTCGCTTGCGAATTGATAATTTCGACGTCAAGTCGGAGTTTGAATTGATGAACGAGAAAAAAAGTCGGGAGGAGTGGCTTTTATTGAGACCCAGGAGAGGGTCGAGTTTGTGCAGCCAGAAACAAGCTGGTGGAAAGTACCTAGGTGGTGACCATTGTGGTTGCCTTTGCTTTGTAATTTGTGTGAAAGGACGCGAGGAGCAGCCAGCAGCCAGGAGCCAGGAGCCAGGAGCCAGGAGCCAGGAACCACGGGAGGCCAAACTTCAAAAGCGGCAACAAGAGGCTTTCTCCCATCCTAACTTTCTAGGAAAATTCTGGGTGTCCTGATAATTGAGAATGATTGAAAGAGCTACCTAAATTTTCTAAGACAAGAAAACTACAAAATTTTCCAGATTGTTAGAAATAAATACAAAAAGTGCAGTTGAGGGCAGTTGATGACAGACGAGGACTGCGGATATTTACTGCCACTTTACGCGAGGCTCAATTTTTTTCGGGGAGCCTGAAAGGGACAAGCGTGTGAGTCATAATCGTTCCTGCTGCCCTTGGAAGGGAAACCTGGTGCTGACGAGGGCGACCATTCTAGGGCGGCAGCCAGTTGTGTGCCTATGGTTCTTGCCGTGAGAACGAGAACTGGGACTGGTTTGACCTTGACCGCAATTGAACAGCAAACCGTAGGTGTTCGTGATGCTACCTATGTTTACCTAGGTAGTTGGAGACTCGAAGGGAAGAAATCGACGTCAAACTCCCGCATTAAAATTGAATCATCATCGCACAAATTTATGCTCCCGATGGGAATTCACAACACCACAGATCGCCTTCTCCATTTTCTCGCAGTGATCGCTCTCCACTCAGAATAACCGCTGAAAAAATCAGAAAATTCGGTTGACACAGCTCCACTCCCCACCACGCAGGCACTGGACTGGGCAGCAGCGATCGCCCCCAGCGATCCGGCTCAAGCCCTCAAGCCAGCATCTGCTCTGCCCCTCTGCCCATCTGCGCCCAACAGGCAGCGCAAAGCTGACCCCTGCTCCCCCCCGCCGCTTTTGCACAGAGACTGCGCCCTGTCGCTTCAACGGCACACCAACGGCGCTACTTAAAAACATCCTCCTCCCCAACCCTCGCCCTCGCTTCTCTTCTCTTGCTCATCCATCTGACTCAACACCACACGCAAATACACACCAGAACATCACGCCCACGATGTTCTAAATCACCAGTCTTCCCGACTACCTTGACACCTCCAGTCATCATTCCGTCCCACTTCAAAACAGTCAACCACTCCCCTCAACCACCCCCTTCACCCTTTCTTCCTTCGTTGGAAGATTTGACCGTTGGAACCGCTTCGCGCTTTTCCCCCACTACCGTCAACATACATCCCCAAGAGTCTCAACTCTTCGACACCACGGATTCCCCATCAACATGGCTTCCCTCCAGTTCACCGAGCCTGCCGGCACAACCATTCCATCAGCACAACCAACCATCGCAACCCGCTCAAGATCAGGACTTTGTTCTGTTCGAGACTCCGTCTGCTCGCAGTACCCCTAGTCTGTCCAACCAACACGCCCTTATCGGCCACAGTCGTCGTCACTCTGCCAATTTAGCATCTTCTCTGCAGAATCAGAGAGTCGCCGCGATTATTCAATCTACAGGACATTCCATCTCTACTTCGAATCTTACAAATCGGTTTTCTCCTGCGCAGAATCACAACTTCTACGCATCTTCAGCACCCAACTCGTCCGCCTCTCTGCAGAGCCAGCAACGCCCGACTCGACCTCCAGTCCCGCTGTTCTCACAATCAACTGGCAACATCCCGCAAACTACAAACATGGCTATGCAAGGTATTTATTATTCACGTCCCGTTTCTGCGAACTTCCGTGACTCACAATCATACCCAGACATGGATCTCTTTGACGAATTCACTGCCTTCGAGGGTGGCGCTTCGACCCAAGGTCATAACTTCAACTCGGCTTACTCTTCGCCTGCCGTTCCAACGATCTACGATCCAACTATGAACCTGTCATCCTCGAGCTCCACCAACATGGGCACTGTCTCACCTCAAGATCTTGTTGTTCGCGATTCTTTCGCATCTGCTCCCAACTCTACTGCTTTTACCAACTTGACTTCGCCATCGACCTACAATGACTCTCCCGATTACAATGAGAACTTTGAGGTTTCCCCATTCGTCGCAGATGACAAACACGTAGTTATGGGCGATGCGTGGTATCCTCTCTTTCCTCAAGACAACAACGACAACCAATCCAAGGTACCTGAATCACCACTTCTGCCTGCGGAGGAACTTCAAGTTGCGGAGCATCTTCGATCGAACTTGACTGGTCGCCCAAGATCGGGCACTGGATCTTCTCCTATTGGAGCGCACTCTGCGATCTCTGGAGTCAACGCTCGCAAGCAAAACAAGCCTCTTCCTCCCATTGTTGTCGACGATCCAAACGATACTGTCGCCATGAAGCGTGCTCGTAACACTCTTGCTGCTCGTAAATCCCGACAACGTAAGAACCAGAAAATTGAGGACATGGAGGACGAAATCGCCAAAATCACAGCGGAACGTGATCATTGGAAGGCTATTGCTTTGCGACGAAACCCACAAATGACAGGCTGAATCAATCTTGATAAGCCGCCGGCAACTCATGGATTGGGGGGAAGAATTTGAGATTCTTTCGCCTTAGGAGGCTATGGTAGCAGCTGCATGCAAAGGGGCTCAGCAATGACGCTATAGACCGAGGATCTCTTAATCAAAATTCGTTTCTTTTGTTAATTCTCCTTGCCAGTCACGATACTTTTCAGCGGTGGATTTGATAGCATGTGGTTTCAAAGCCTTGATTGCTTTCAACCATCCTTTTCACCCTAGCTCACTTTGAGTTCTTTGGGCTTGTTGTACTTTTGTCTTTGGCTTGGCTGGCTTTATTTCCTTCTTTTCCTTGGCTTCCATGTGTTTTCTAGGTGTCTCCCCTCTTCTTTGGGATGGTGACCCAGATTACTCAACTCACATTCTGTTTCTGTTTTCTTTCCTTCTTAACCTTCGATTCAATAATTCTACAACGTGCTGACAAACTACTACTTTCAACCATGGAAGCTTTTTTAAAATAGAAGACGAAACTCATTTGACTATTGTGTGATGTGGCTGTGACTGTGATTTTCTTCTGTTGTACATTTTTTGGTTTTTGCTAGTGAGATGTGTGAATGACTGTCTTACTGATACAGTGGCTGTTTGATGTGATGTGATGTGTTTTGGGGTTGGTATGGTGTCATTGTACAACTGTATCTGTCTGTCCAACTGACTGTCTGTCTGACTGAGTAGGGACGTGGCAAGCATAGTGTTGTCTTCCATGTGATTTGTCTTGTGTGATTTGTCTTGTCTTGTGTTTCATGTCGTATTTTGTTATATCGTATCGTTTACAACGTGTGTTATTTGTTAGTCTGTTAGTGTATTAGTCTGTTGATGTACGTGAATATAAGTATATGTGTGTGTAGGGAATGGATGTTGAAGAGTGGATGTTGAAACGATGGAGTCAGATTCATAGGTCCAGTGTTGGGGTCTAGTGTTTGGGTCTAGTGTTTAGGTTGAGAGGGGTTGGGGTTTTAGGGGTGTGAATGAGGGAAGGGGAGTTGTGAATGGGAGATATGGTTGTGAATGTGGGTAAGAGGTAAACGAGGGGGGATGAAGGGAGGGTTGTGAATGAGAGATTGGGAGATGGAGGAAGAGGGGTTGGGGATAGGGGTTGGGGGTATGGCTTGGCTTAGTGGGATGAAGGAGGAGGGGTTGGGGATAGGGGGGATAGGGGGGATTATTAGAGGGTTATAGGGATTATTAGAGGGTAGGGCAGTTGAAGGTCTTCAACTGTGTTAGTAGTAGAGGCCAAGGTGGTGAAGATATAAGTAAGATCTTACTCATTTGTAATTAGTGATTAGTAGTTAAGGGGTAGGGTGGGGTTTGTTTGGTGTTGTTTGATTAAAAGGGCTCTGGGGTGGTATAGGGAGGTGTAGGGGTTTGGGGCTATTGGTTAGTAGGGAGGTTAGGGGTTAGGGGTGGGATATATGGGAGAGAGGAGGGTGAATTGGTGATGGGTGATAAGTGAGTGAGAGGGTGAGAGGGTGAGAGGGTGAGAGGGTGACTTGGCGATGGGGGATAAGTGATGAGGGGTGAGGGGATTTGGATGAGATTTAGGAACTGATGTAGTTGTACTTATTGTTATACGGTAGTTATATACTTATGTTATTCACGTTCATCCTGCTCACAGCCCAAAGGGGCACGTATAAGACCAGCACCTGGGGCAGGGTGCTATAACGCTCTTTCATTCCTATTCTTACTTAGAAACAAAAAGGCTGGCTATGAAAGTAGGCATACAAATAGAGATGGTGACGGTCGAGGAAAGAACCCTAACGCTCCAGCGTACACATCCTGCCTGAGAGCAGAAAATATGAAATATAAAATTGTTGATGATTCATGCTCCCGCTGCTACTTAGAGGAGAGCTACACGATGTAAGTAGGATATGCTGTGTCAGGCAGAGGATGGTTTAAAAGGGTAGGGTTTGGCTAAGTTGTTGTCACTGTAGTTTAAGAGGTGGTGGGTTCTAGAATGTGGTGGTTTGGTGTGAATATCGTAGGATGCCGTGGGATGCTTTTTATAGGATAGAGGAATACTGCTAAGTCCTGATACCAAGCAGTCTGGCAATACTGTAGACTCGATATTATAAGGGAGCGCTATGCATTTTTGGAATGCCATAGATCTGAAAATCTCCGCCCAACCTTGTACTCACAGGTGGAAAACTACCAGAGATCAAGCTCCAATATCCTGAATTTGATTGTGTGAGGAAGGGTTTGGAAGGTGAGGATTATAGGGATAGGGATGGGATATTCATCCTGCTGGAATGTCTACGGGGTTTGATGGGGNGAGGGGGGGGGGGTTATGAGGAGGTTTGTATCCAGCTGGAGGTCTATATTGGGTTCGTGAAATATATGATTAAAAGGGCTGACTTATTTGATGTGCTTAACTATATTAACCGACAAACCATCGAGTATCCAAGGGATCTTGGGATGCGATGGCTCAACACCTGTACGTGGTGCATCCTACGAACCTGGGATTCAATTCCCAGAGCTAAGATTGAGTGTAAGAGGGGGAAATCGGGATTCTGGAGTTGTTGTTATAGTAGTAGTGCGATAGAGCTAGCGGTGAGGCCAGATTGCAGAGTTTTCACGACCGCATATAACAATTTCAATAAATAATCGACGAACAGGCCTATTTGGGGCCGAACAACATCTACCAGCCTCTTAAAACAAAGCAAAACAAACCGACTAGACAAGTAATCGAATTTCGAACAGAAGGGAATGCCTTAAGGAGGCGGGAGGAAGGGGGTAGGCTTTATCTCCTCGACGCCCCGTATGTACATTTCAAATTTAAAGTTTACGATTTCCTATTTAGGCGTTCGGAACGTTCGGAATACTACTTAGGCGAGCTACGGGACTTGGTCTGACATGCTCCGCGCCAATTGAGTACTGCTACCAAGACAATAAGTGGATGCCTTAAACCCAAAATTTGAAATGTACATACGGGGCGTCGAGGAGATAGTAGTAGAGAACGCTCACCCCTCGACAAACAAAACGGACAGGGAGATAAGACAAAGACAAGGATAGAGGCTCGAGTTTAAAGGTATAGAGAAGGGAAGAAGGGATAGAAGTATAAAACAAAAGAACCTAGGGCCAGGGCAACCGCTAGGAGTCGTAGCTTATCTCTACAGACTAGACACGGATCGGACGACTCGATATTACATTATATATTATATAAAAGCGGTAGTAACGAACAAGGGATACTAACGTCGTATATAGACAATACTTAAGCAGGAGGTAGGAGAGGAGTGGAATCGTAGTGTAACGAATACTCAAACTGGCTAACTAAACTTGGCTGGGTGTTCGCTGGTTGGTATGCTATGATAAGAAGAAGACTATCGGGTTGTTCACTTGGAAGTGAACTCGTTACTTGTATCAAAGATGTCAAACTAATATGATAAGATTGATAACTAAGTTGAGCACGAAGCTCCTATCTAATGGCAGACGTGCCAGTCTTATATAGAACCTTCGTTCTCTCTACATCGCCTACATCACCTGTCGATGTAGTCGACCTCCTATCGCTAACATCGACTGTCGATACAGGCGATGCGATTGATCACGTGACTACATACACGAGAAATCCTTGGATCGCTTAGCTAGTCTAAGCATCCCTATTTATAAGAAACCTGGATGTGCCTGTCGAGGGTTGCTCCTCTTATTATGACAGGTATCACGTGAACACGTGATTCGTGACATATACGCTAGGTCGGTAGAAGGGTAAGTAGGTAGTTAGTAATATATAGGAGCTCCCTAGTTACTTATATACTTTGCTACTTTCGGAAGCTACTAAGGAGGTATAGGGGGTGTACAGTATACCCTTAGTAGCCTACTCTCCCTAGTCGTACTAATAACATCGAGGGGTCTCGTTCCCCCCTCGAGGGTAACAGATTCATAGTATTTTAAAGTATACATACGATTCTACATACGAACCTATACTCGGCTTCTAGGCACGCTTTAGGGCAAGGGACTAGTAGGGAGGTAATAGAGGAACGGAAAGGGTGACAATATTAGGCTCGGTTGTTAGAACTAGGCACCCTGATCTAGCTATAAGCGTACAAAGAAGATGTTGTGCTGGGTCTACTTTCTCTTTTGCTCCACTTCCTTATTTGATCCACTTATAGTTCTGCTGCCTAAATGCTTCATGTCTGCCTAAACCTTACACTCTTTATATAAACACCTTAGATAGCTACCTTTTACAATGCAATCAATTCTCCATGACCTTCAGTACCCAATACCCTTTCAACCCAATAGAAGAATAGAGAGAAGAAGGGAGGAAAGACTAGTAACTAGGACAAAGGAGAGCTAGCGTAGAATGTTGCCGCTTACTTCTAGTCGGGTTACGTACTCTAGCGCCTCATTCCCCTGCTTTCTCGCTCTCTGTCTATCTTTAGGTGCCTTAGAGGCTAATACGCGAGTAGTAGAGACTTGCACTTTATATTAGGAGGCTTATATCAAGGTGAGGCGAAGGAACAGAGTATACGGAAGGCATAGGGGCAGGGTTTTTTGAGGTTTTCGCAGAGCCTGGGGATATTCACAGTATTCTCACTTTTCCCTGTATCCTATACTATACGAGTTAAGACGAGTAGAAGTACCGCATACCCTTAGGGTGGGTGGGCTTTACGCCTAGCGGCGTAAGACAAATAATAATAATCCAAGGGATCTTCCAACTTGGGACGGAATCCACTTCTACAAAAAGCGCACATATAAACCTCTAAGAACGTCCAACGATCCTCAACACCCTCGATCCTGAGCCTGAAGATCATTCTAAAAATCGCAGGTGGATGCTGCAGATTCAGTCCAATTGCCCAAATCTCCTATAAGGGGTTCTTCAGAATCACCAGGAGGCTACGTTCTCGGCTATATCAGGAAATTGGGGATATGAATACTTCTGCAGGCTCGAGATGAATATGTATCTCAAATTATCCGATGAGAAACTCATGATATCCAGACTACATAGTATCAAGAGGTCATGAAAAGATGGGCTAGTCAGTTTGACGCCCAGAGAAAGTGGAAGTTAGAAAGCAGGGAAATTAACATGCCCGAAAAGAATTTCTTGTCGCTTGTCTCGATGGATCCTAATCTACCAAAAACGTCAGTGGAATTACTACTTATTCACGCGTGCGAGATAAAGTCTGCCTTGGACAGACGATGATAATAGAGCAGCAGATGTAATGGTAGAGCTTCTGTCGTGGATGGGAAGATAATCGCGTGCTATATTCACCGTTTGAGGGAAGTGCAGAAAGGTTTGCGATTCTTCCAGAGGCTATCGAGGATGGAAATTTCATTGTCTGTTTTTGTGGTGCGAGGGTCAGATTACCTTTTGTGATCCATCGTAATCGAAACATATCCACGGCTTGCAACGAGAGCGGTGATGGAGGAAAACTTCCGCCTCCTTGTGAATATCGTCTTGTGAGTAAGTGTTTGATAGATGGCTATAATGATTCCAGAGATCCCTTTCTAGGTGTTGCTCTAAATGAGACGAGGGCAGGGAACGATTTTGTAACAAACATGCGGACGTTTTTGCTTATTTAGGGCTGGAAGAACTCTACCCATGTAAGGTACGGGTAAGTAATGTTTAAACAGATAGCTAATTACTGTCAGAAGGATAGGCGAAATCAATATTCCATCAGGTACTCGTACCAAGAATTCACCAACTTCCCAACCAACCACAACCCAATCCCCACAAAGCCCTAAAAAATAACCAGACCCATACCAACCGACAGTTCTAAACCAGAATACCAACCCACCAACCAAATCCACCAATTATACACCTGTTGATGGTACCCTAGGTAACTACAATGGCTTAGTGGTCCGGAAATTCAAAGCCCAAAGGTTACTTACTGTACTAGCCTTGTAAAAGATATAGTATAAGCTAATTGATAAATTAAAACTCAGTATGTCTGGTTTTAGGTCTGCTGCGCTCTGTTATTAGGAGTTGGATTTTTTTTGCTGTTTTTTTTTGGGAGGGGGGAAGGGGTTTCGATGTTCGCTTAGAGGTAGCTGCTTTTTGTGGGTGAAGGATTTTTGTTTGGGAGAATGCTAGGAAATGGGCACATAGCTTTGATAGCGCGTCTTCAAGCAAGTACTGACAGGTTGCAATTTGGAGTAATACATCTCGCATGATTAGTCTTGCTATACACAGTAACGGGATATACAACCCTTGGTCCTATGCTTAACTGAGGATGCTTAACTCAGAGCTTCAAACCACACATATCTCCTCGTCTTAATCCATTTCGTTTTTTTATACTTTATCTCATTCTTGACCATTATCCGATAAGGCACTTGAGATGGAATTTACTCACATAATTATCATCACGAGGGATGGGAATCTGTACTCATACCGAGGACAATGATGTAAGCTATGGTAAGTCAAGGATATAACAGGTTCGCTATCTATCAAAATCTACGTCTCACAGTTGGAGATCGTAGATGACGTGTGGCCAGAGATGCCGCGATTTATGAATGATTCCAATATATGATGGGAGACAGTGGATTGATCAGAAAAGAAGGAATCTCCCCTCACCTTACCCTCAGAAGTTACTTGCAATACGGCTGTCAACTTTGTGAGCTCATGCAGAGATAAGCATGTAGACTCAAGTCTCGAAATGGTCTTATCTAATGGCCCTTAAGCTCTCACGATAAGATAATGATCTCACTGAAGCGTTAAGAACCCCGGCAATCGCTAAGTCGCGACCTAGTCACCTAGTAGAAGAACTACACAACCACCTCAAATGACAATGAAATTAAGATCTCCCAACACATAATTCTATGCATAATCACTTCATTGCCATCCTTGCACTCCTCAAAGTCCAGTCAAAAACACACTCTCAAGTCCTCACATTACAAAACTTCTCTCATGGCCATTCTACCCATCCTCTTCAGCATGGGCATTTTCAAGCCCCCCTTACCCTTACCCATACCATCCACCCACCAGAATGACTCAACATCTATACCTCCGACCACAGACCCGGGTTTGCATCGGAATAAACCCTGGGATGAACCTGTGACTGCTTTTCTGGCGATTGGAGGCATTGTTTTGGGGTCTATAATATTCGTTGGTATGCAGTCCTATTCTTTTTCTGGACAGATGTGGGAGTCTCTGCTTCTACTGATGCATTGGACATTGTATTGGGAGAATGAGGCTGATTATTTGGGCAGTGCTACTTGGATTTGGGATTCGACTTTGTTATTTGAAACGGCAGCAGAGGTTGAGGGATAAGGATAATGGGATTAGGATTTTGAAGGAGAAGAAGATTAGGGATACGATTGTTTGTGGGTTGTGAACTGGTTCATGGGGTCTCTTGGATTTGGGGGATGAGGATGTGTGTGAGTGAGAGAGAGAGGAATATTTTAAGCGAGTGTGGAGATTGAAATTCGATTTGTCGCTGGCTGAAGGGAGATGTGAAAAGAAGGGGTTGGTATAGCGCGATCACAACACCAAGAAACATCCTATCCTTAAGTCAGATCTCATGGACCTCATCAGCTTCTGCAAAAGTATGCTCAATTTATGATTCCAACTACAATTCCTAAACCATACCACCCACCAAAGCGCCCTACGTTTCATCCCAATTTTGAACATCATCTCAAATCAATCTAAACACCAAACTCCATCCCAACTTCATCAAGCGCCCTCCCAAGCCACTCCAGAACCTCCTGATCACGACTAGCAGCCCTAACAGCCTTCGCAAGCAACGGATAAAGCCTATGCAAATGTTTCTTCCCTTCGCTCTCCACACCCGGTGCGTCCGGTATCGCGTCCGGCTCGCATCTCAAACTCACTAATGCCTTTAGGATATAAAGTAGCTCAGTCCGCTGGCTCAGGGGTTGTGGCATTCTGCCCCGCAATGGTTGGTCTGATATGTATGCGCGGATGATGAGTCCGGCGCGGAGAATGAGGTAGGGTGCTGCTGCCTGTGCGAGTTTGATTTCGTTGGGTGTACTGGAGCGCAAGGAGATGAGGAGAAGTAATGTCTCGATGCAAACGTAGCTCATTTTGGAACGCAAGGATGGTGGATGATCGATCGTCAGACCTTTGCGAGGGGTGTAAAGGCCCCCAAGAAGCTCTTGTGTTGGGGATGGAAGTTCGGATGGGAGAGGGGCATGGATAAGCGAGGTGTGGAACAGTGATTCAGTGTATATCCTTCGCGTTTTGTCTGGTATTGACGGCGACCCCAAAGCTGGCGTAATGAGGTCTCGTAAGGTGAGAAATGACTCAATATCAAAATCTTGATCGGACTTGATGTCGATTGTCTCCGCGGCGTCGGAGCAATGTGCTACGGTGATGGCGTTGGCAATTGTGACAATAGAGCTCCAAATAGATCGTGTTACATCATCTTTGAACTCCGTTTTAGTGACTACGGGCAGTACTGCTTTCAGAATTGCCAGAGCTGAGATGGTTGCTTGACGCCAAGGTGAGATGCTCTTAGTGACAATCGGGAATGCATATTTCAGGACAATCGGCTTCGCTAGCGCACCCAGTGTAGACGTCAAAGCACCGCTAGAATAGACATCTTTATCCGACGAATGTGCCAGGACCAAATTTTCTATCAATACCATAGAAGCTTTCGACAAAGCAACATATGTAGGTCGTTTTTCTGTATTTGATGTATCTTTTGGCTCAAACGCCAACCCCACAAATTCCGATACTTGAGAAATCAAGGCGCCGGGCACCCCTTCGATATCAGTGCGAATAATCTTGAGGTTTTCTAACACTTGAGTCTGTAATGGCGTAAGGTACTCAATGTCTGCTGTATAGATTGCAGCGCTTGCTTGTTGGATAGCTTCTCGCAGTAACATAAGCATTCGGTGTACTTTCTCAGCATCAAGGTCCACCTGCACTAGCCTGTAGATTTCTTGCAATGCAGAGACATATGCAACCAAATATTTCTGATTATCAAATCTCTTCTCATTTAGATTTGGCGTCACGGGAGGTACAGAGTGAGACCACAGCCCCCATGCAAGATCAATGGCAGCGCGGTCGAAATTTGTCACGTCGCTGTCGGAAATATTGCCACGAGAAAGTATTTGGCGTAAGGAATTGAAAACGGAAGTATTGATGTCAAGAGCCTTGAACTCGAGAAGCGATTTGTAATGACAGAGTAAAGTAGCCCAAGACTTGCCGAACGTACTATGGCTGGAAAGTGTATCCAGATAATCGGCCAATAGATTAGTGATCCCAGTCAAAACGACGACAGTAGTTTCGTTCCATCCAGTTCGATCCTTGTCTGAAATTAATGACTCAGGCTCATGAGCGATTTTCAACTGTGTTTCGATTGATGAAAGCAATTTGAATATGACCGACTGAAGACACATGGACCATGCCTCGGGACTGAGTTGTTCGCCATAAGCATCAAAAATCCGAAGAAGGGTATGAATAGCACCTGCCCACAAGTTAGTGACTAGAAAGTAGCCGTGTTTGAGTCACTCACTGTTCCTCAGCTCAAGCCTCTCATCGGTAGTGACAGCGGTCAAGCGGAGAAGCAACATCATCCATAGTGCAGCATCTGATACCTTTAAGTCGGCCCCAGAAGCCTTTATGACGAGTGTCTCCTCATCAGAACCTTGAATAAGATCCGGACTCAATGAGAGAGAGTTAGTCCTACCAGATATGAAATCTGATAGAACCCAAAAGAATGTCACCGTCTGTACGAGTTAACAAAAGTCATGCCGCTAAAGGTATTCATTACTTACGGTCAACGAAATATTAAGATCATCATCTTGCGTGCAAAAATGATAAAGGGTATCAACGAGAATAATAAAGCAAGAATTTGGAAGCGATGACAAAAAGTCGGAGCAAATTAGTTGAAGCGAGCCAAAGGAGGACCGAATCAGTCGCGATGAATGTGTAGAGGTGGGTTTGGACCGGGAAGTACTTTTCTCTCCCTTGATGAAAACACTTCCAATAATTTGGAAAGCAATGTCCCATCCGGTGACAAAAGTTTCGCCACACTGTTCCAGGATGCTTCTAAGTCCCTCGAGGATTACTTTGTGAATATCGATATCAATTGCATGTATCGCAACAGAGGAAGATCGCTCTTTTGATTCGAGGGGCTGTATCGCATCTCTGAAAGTTTGAAGCAACCGCAATTGAATATTGCTTCTGATATCTTCAGGCAAAGACAAGCTAGAACTTGCTGCCTCGAAGACGAGCCGAACAAGGATCTCAGCAGCTCGAAGTCTTACCGATGATGGCGTAGAAGTAGAGCAAGAAGCTTTAATAAGATCGGCCGTCAGAATTGACCATCCACTTATCTCGGGATCATTTGCCATCAGACGCTCGATATTTATACTGGCCAGCTCCCCGAGCTTGGCTAACGCAAAGAGGTCCTCTTGCGTCTGTGTAGCAGGAGCTGTGCTAACACTGTGGATTCTCCTGTGCTGCGAAGTGTGTGAAGGCCGGCGTGCGTTTTCTGAGACGAACTTAGGACTGGGTGGTTCTGCTGAGGATTTTGGCGGCACTTCTTCCTTTTCAAACAAAGCACACAATGCCATCACGACTTCCAAAAATGATTCGTTGGGGAAATCGGCCGTGCTCTCAAGTAACCTGGAAGCAGCTGTCTCAACAGCTTTTATTTCACTACCAAAATTGACAAGTAGTGCAGCGTCATCAGTCCCTTTCCCACTGTCAGATTTCTGGTTAGGTGTGGATCTTGCCGGTTTATTGCTCGAAAATAAAACCAAGTCGGCTTCTTGGAGTGTTCCAAGAATAATACCCCATGCCGGACCTAGAGTTGGACCCAGAGCAATTCCTAGATTCAGGAGAGCTCTCAAGCACAGCAGATTTCGTGTATTGAGAGAGATGGTACTAGTGTCGGAGACTGGCTCTCGTCGTCCACGATCAAGAGCAGCCGAAGCATTGCTGACCAAGCTTTCCACACTCAACAAGCCTTTCGCGTTTGAAAATATGCTCGACTCAGATGTTGGTGTCAACGGTGTTGTTATAGCAGCAGCACTAGCAGATAAAACGTTCGACGGAACAGCGGCTTTTCCAAGTGTGGTCAAAAAAGCATCTCTTGGTGTAGCCAATCGAAGCAACCCTGCTACGTGTGTGAATTTCTGGAATGATCTGACTAGACCATGATAGTACTCAGTATCGAGGGCAGCATATAGGAAAGTCGAGCAGGTAGCAAGTACAGCAGGCCAGCATTCGTCGACAATTCCAGCACATATTTTGACCTCATCATAAAGTGGATGTTCTTTTAGAGTTAATGGATTCACAGGAACTGGATTCTTCTTGACGGAACCCCTCCTTTCTGGAACACCTGCTGGAGAATCTGACGCTGGGTCTGCGCCTGGTTGCCGGGAAGCCTTCTTACGTGGTCTCTCCGGAACAGTTAAAGGTAGTATAAATTTTGCTAACCCTTCAGAAAACCCAGTGACACATGCAAGGGTGAGACTGTAAATGTAAGATTCGGGCACTGAAGGAGGATCGGTCTTATCGAGCTGGTCAATACAAGGTACTCTCATAGTGCTCCATTGCGTGCTAATACCAGCAGCGCTTTCGTTGGACCCGACTGAGCCGGTGATGATACCTGCTACACCACTTTCAAGCATTGCTTGGTCTGATCCAGAGCCTCCCTGGATTTTCGTTGGTACTGTAGACTGGGAACCTAGTCCAATAACAGAAGGCTTTTCTGTGCTTATGCGCACAAACGCAGCAACCAAGTCTCTCAATACGTTTTTCTTGCCTTCCTGAGCATCATACATGGCGAATATTCTCCGGATGAGAGCTGCCTCAGCAAATATACCCCTCAATACTTCCATACACAACGATCGTTTCCAGAGCGCAGTATCATGATCGAGCATTTGAGTTAGAAGACCGAGAGCCATCTCACCCTCAGATGCCAAGATACTGAGGTGCCGTCTGAGTAAAGTGTACAGAATTCTTCCAATTCTGACAGTAACGGCAAAGTTCAACTTTTCCGAAAGAGAATGAATAATGAAAGGCATCACTCTGGTTCGGAGAACATTGGCTTGCTCGGGATGTGTAATAAATATCTCAGAATGATTGGTCAAAACCGACTCGATAAGTTCCAGTCCAAAGGTTTGAGGCATGCTCGTGGATCTCAAAAATTGTGGCTTTTGAGATTCCGTCAGAAGACAGAGGTCATTGAAAACTCTGTAAGCATCCAATGCTGCGGTACGAACCCGGACTGTGCCATCTTCAACTGGTGCTTCGCCAACAGTAGGGACTTCAAGCTGTACTTCTACTTTTCCTTAGCTACATTCAAACCGGGACAACGCAAAGTAACTCACTATCCTCGGCAACTACTTTATCAAATACCGAAACAACAAGCTGTTGCAAAGTAGCAGCAGCAGTATTGTTCACAATACCATTCTTACTAGCCTGCAAGATTGTACAAATGTTCAAAGCAGCAGCCAAAAGCTCCGCCTTCAAATCGTCCGCATAATTCTGGAGCAACGAGGGCAAAGCCTGGAGAATCTTAAGCTGAACATCAAGTCCAGCCGAAGTAGATTCTCGAAAAGCATCGAGAACCTCTCTCAATCTCGGTCTCGGTAACGCACGTGATACAACAAGTCGCTGCAGACACACGATCGCTATGCCAGTGAACTTGACATTCTTGGTTCCGCATGCAATCAGGAAGGGTGTCACGAAGTTTGGTCGGGCAGAAAGATCTAGAAATGTCAGTTGCGTTGCATTGCATGGGGGATATTAAAAATGTACCTGCAGCTATTTGAGCCTCTGAAGTTGATCTCAGACCCTTTAACTCCTCTAATGATTTTTCCGCAGCCTGAGTTCATATTAGTACAAAGATCCAGTTTGGGATGAAGTAGCCAATATGTTCCCATCAATCCCATAGACTATAGGTATAGGCTCTAGCTCACATTTCTGAGATCCGAGTGTTTCCTTTTACTCTCTTGAATCAGATTAGCAAGCTCTGATGACAGAATCTGAGCCGTCATGATGTGAATTTACTCCACCAATTCCATGATCTGGCAACAACAGAAATAGGAGTGTGTTAATGGTTACCTAAAGGCGTATGAGCCAAGGCAAGTATGAGGCAACTTACTCCCTGATTGAGGTGGCCTTTGTGAATATAAGCCGAAGTGTAGCCGAGCCTTCCATTTCCCCCGCCAACCTCTACATCTACAAGCACAACCCCTCCTTCGCATTTTCCTACACACAGTTCTGACGATCAACTACGCCTCCACGAACATCTTCGAAAGACCTCTACCGTTCTTGTACACAGTCAGTCATTTACACTAAAAGACCAGCTATTTTCCGGCAGAATGGGTGCCAAAGTTCCCCGAAACTTCAGATTACTGGAAGAGTTGGAGAAAGGCGAGAAAGGTCTTGGAGCTGGTTCGTGGAACCATATTGATCCTCTGGTTCTGGACTATTACTGAGATACCATTTGTACTGCAGAAGCCTGTTCCTATGGTTTGGCAGAAGGAGATGATCTGTTGATGTCTAACTGGAACGGTACTATCCTCGGTCCACCACATGTACGCTTCTGTTCCTCTCTTTACTCAAAGCTTTGAAGCGAAGTATTCTTACTCATACTTCAATATCCAGAGTGTCCACGAGAATCGAATCTACTCTCTCAAAATGCACTGCGGCGACAGCTACCCAGATAAGCCACCCACCATCCAATTCATCAACCAAGTCAACCTCCCATGTGTCAACGCAAAGAACGGACAAGTAAGCAACTACTACCACCACGACCACATCTACAGATTTCCAAAAAGCAAAGTACTAACCCTCTACAAAAGGTCGACCCAACCAAACTCCCCTGCCTCGCAAACTGGACCCGAGAAATGACCATGGAAACAATCCTAATCGAACTCCGACGCTACATGGCCCACCCCTCGCACAAGAAACTGCCTCAACCCGCCGAAGGATCGACCTACTAGACACAAACCCCCCCAATAACCAATCGCTACGAAAATGCGGCTACGAGCACCATGATCCGAAGAGTTGCATATTACATGTCGGGCACAGCTAGGAATACGAGAGATGACACGAACAAGATGTTTTTTTTCCCTTTGCGAGAGCGACGAGGTGTTGGTGAGGATGATCTCCATTTGGGAAATGGATGGGAGGGATTGTGAATTTGGGCTGTGGGTTTGGGAGCATTCAGCGCGGCGAAACCGGTAAACCTACTCTGTTTGGCTGGCCCTTCTTGGTTCTGTACACGGGGAATGATAGTGGAAACGATGGTTCTTGAAAGCAAATGATTTCTCAATCCGCCACGTGAAGCCATATTCTACTCCCCTATGTATTATCCTCCTCAAATGTGGAATGGGTATATTTTGAGGCAAGTATAATACAACTTTTTGGTCAAGTTCGTCCCGAGTCTATGGTCTCTTTTTCATAGTCCACCGCGGCTCCTCCCCTATCTCTGTATCTGACTTTGGTTTCTTCCTCTCCTCCTCCTTTGTATCTGACATTGTTTCTTGCCCCTTCTCTACACCCCTGGCCCACATTTCCTTCTTCGCCGCCCACCTATTCTCATTTTTCATATGCTTCCTCTCCTTTCTCTCCTTCAGCGCCAACTCCCTCTCCTGCTCCACTATCTCCATCATCCTCTTCCCATCCCTATTCGCAGCCCTAATGAACCGGGACAATATGGTCTTCGTATCCGCAAGAGCAGCACCCAATTCATTCCTCCAAAACCCCCAAACTTCTGTTTCCGTAGCCCTAACCTTGCCTTCCTCCTCCGCAACGTCCATAACCAACTCCTCCCACTCCTCTTCATACTCCACCTCCATCAGCAGCACATCCAACAGCTGGAGACGATCAATCAATTTTATCCTCCTCTCGTCTTTCTGGCGAATTACTCGCGCTACGTAACTTGGTACTTCTTTCTTGAATTTTAGCGTGGCGAAGAGGCCATTGGATGGGAAGGTTATTGTTGGGGCGTGCCGGATTCCTCCTTTGATTTCGGAGAGGGGGAGAGGTCGGATGTCGAGAACTTTTGGGGCGCCTGGTATCGCGACAGGGCGTGCGGGACGAGCAAGTGGCTTCTTTGGAGGATTGGGGATTGTGACGGAGGCTATTTGTGCTTCGTTTTGGATGGTTGTGAGGAGGGAGAAGAGTTGGGATTTTGAGGTAGGGTCATCGTTTGCGGTTGATCGAAGGAGGGCTTCGTACTGTGTATCAATCAGTCTCCTATTCCCAGAATTTTTCCACATCTGCGTCTGTGAAGATGGAGAAACATACGGCATAACCAGTCTTAAGTATCTTCACAATACGTTGGTGGCTAGTAACATCCTGATTTTGTTTGAACTTCTTGCGGATCAAATGCTTAATTGGATTTATAGGCCCGCGAGCAAAGTACTCGGGTGGGAGAGGGATTCGAGAACATTGGTTCAGGAGCGCGCGGTATAGTGCTATGCCTGTGTGTCCAGTATGTTAGCTTCCAATTCTGAGATTTGGTGATTGTAGAGTGCAATTGAGTAGAATAAGAAGAGCGACCTACATGCTATCCGGTGAGCACCTGATTTCTGGGGGATGAAGTGGGCTGGCGGCATTCATTTGGACGTGGGCTTGCATATTGAAGCCGCGCAAGACGGAGGAAGTTCAAATGTGGGGGAGCTTCATGAGTTTTGGGGCCGGTTTTCGGGCCGAGGCCGATACCGAATAATCAGTTGCTCTTTTGACAAGACGCCGTAGGTATCTTTGATATTCATTTCGATGATTGAAATGATGTCTATACGGCTGGAATTCTATTTCTCATAATTGCGCAATCGATAGGATTTTCTATTTATTCTTGGAGTTCTATCAAGTAGAAGAAATTCCTATGGCACATGCAAGGATTAAGTGAGGGACAGACAGACGTCATTCCGAGAAACCTCACAAAATCACGAACTCGTTGAACGACGAACATTCGTGAAGCCCACTAGCGGTGGAGAAATGGCCATCGTGGTAAGAAGCAATTATACTCCCCGGGAAATGACCAAACTGCTAACCGTTTTGTACAGGACACTGCACTTGCGCCCTTTCGGGTTGCAACGTCAAAACCCGCCCAGAAAACATACCTCAACACCTTTCTCTTCCTCATAACCTCTACGGTCCTTCTGGGTGTGGCAATCGTTGCATATGGCCTCTTTTACTTCAATTTTGTGCCACAAATTGGCATCGAGAGGGTCATACATCTGCAGTATGGGTAAGTTTACCTCTACTACACCTAAACAATACTAATACTACCTAGTGATGGTCGCAATCCCTATGGCATCGTCCCTCTCTCCACATCCCTAATATCCCAGCAACCATATGACATCACCCTCTCTCTCCACGTTCCTCGGTCTCCAGCAAACATTCGCACAGGAAACTTCATGCTTTCCCTCTCCCTCCTCTCATCAAGTTACAAACCTCTCCCTCCAATAACTACCACTGATTCACCCCTCGCCCCAACCGTCAGTTCGTCTTTGACAGCCATCACACCTGAAGATATCCTCTTCTCTTCCCGTCGCCCCGCAATCCTCACATATACATCCCGTCTCATCTCTCTCAGCGAACGTCTCGCTGCTCTACCACTATATATCCTCGGTCTGAGGCGCGAATCAGAATTCCTCACAATCCCTATGGCAGAACTCATCTCCTTCCCACGCGGACGGAAGAACATTCCGGGTCACGCACTGGTGGAAGTTCTTGCTGGGCAAGAAATACAGGTCTACTCCTTGACATTGAAATTCACAGCTCGTTTTGAAGGATTTCGGTATCTAATGTACAATCACCGACTTCTGAGTCTTGTGATTGGTGTTGCTACATTCTGGAGCGCGGAAGTTCTATCTATGATCTTCACCTGGTTCTTACTTCGCCTGATATTCTTATCCTCATCTGAAGGTGGAAAAGGAAGTATCAAAGGCGAGGAAACAGATACCTCTGTAGGAATCAAGAACGGAGCGACAGATGAAGAACCCGAGCTTTCTGATACGCCAAGGACGTTTCCCACATATGGACGACAGGCGCCATTGAAATACGAACCTCGGATTAAAAAGGAGGATAATGGGGGTTTAGTGTTGCAGGAGACGGACATTTTGCCGCTTAGTAACGAAGCGGATGATGAGGATGATGAGGATCTTGGTTTCAAGGATTCGGGGTTGGGGACGAGTTATAGTGATGCCGGGGGACGTGGTGGTGTTACGAGGAGAAGGTCGAAGGGAAAGGGAGGTGCCGGCCATTGATTCTGGATTTTAATTTTTCGAGTGAGGCTTTCAGGAAGGGCTTGGTGGTTTGGAGTTGACGGTTGTATATGATACCCATTATGGTTGACTTTCTTGAACCAAGTTCTACTTAAAATCAATTGCAATATTCCGACTTTTTTGCTACCTCTGCCACAGTAATAAGGTTACTATTCCACCAAGGTCAGCTTTCAATTGTGCTTTTCCAGTGCTTTGTAGCCTGCTCACCCAGTATCCTACAACTCGAAATCAATTTGATATCCGGCTAATTGAATACAGTACACGAGGAAATATCGACTTTGATTTTCTGATATTGTGATTCACCTTTCGAAGTTCCAGTAGTTGTATATATTGTAACTACGATATGAAATAAAAGGGGTTCGCTTCCATGATATCTTCATCGTGGGAGGATATTTCTGAATAAGAAAAGTCGAAAGAATCCCAAGGGAGTAATATTTTTTTAAAAGAGTTAAGTAAGTCTTACTCCCAGTTACAATGTCAATGGTCTATACAAATCTACTTGTGTATATACAGTATAATGCTAACGCACCCAGTCCAGCTTATCTAGAAAAACTCTCAACTCTATCGTACGCTCCAAACTCCACATTTCCCATGGACCATAGTCGGTAGTGCTTCTTATACACTCCTTTCTCATCACATATACACCTCCAAAACACACACATACAAAACCCCTACTCACCCTCCCCCATCCCAACAACCAACTTCACACCCCCCATCTCACCCCCCTTCAACCTCTCCAAGCCCGCAACAACACCCCCAAGTCCACCATCCAAAACACACATCTCAGGAAGCACAATCCTCCCACTCCCCACAAGCCCATTCAACACCTCCGCCCACCGCCTCTCCCCGGCATCATTCACAAACCTCTTCATCTCCACCGTAACGATCTCCACATCCGTCCGTACACCCCTATCCCCATCCCTCATNCTCCGCCCACCGCCTCTCCCCGGCATCATTCACAAACCTCTTCATCTCCACCGTAACGATCTCCACATCCGTCCGTACACCCCTATCCCCATCCCTCATCATCGCTAGCGGGGCGAATATACACCTCCCCCCGGACAGGGAAAAACAATCTAAGCAAGCCTGAGCGGTGTCGGGACCTACGAGGTCGATTGCTAGTGTGATGTTGGAGGAGAGTGTGAGGATCTCGGATACGATCTGGGCGTGCGATTTGTGGTCCCGGATTATGACTTCGGCGCCGAGGGAGCGGACGAGGGGTGCGGTGCGGGAGGATGTTACGGCGAGGACGCGGTGGTGGGAGAGGAGGGCTAGTTGGGTTGTGAATTGGCCGGTTGTTGTTGAGCCGCCCCAGATGAGGAGGGTTGGTCTGGTGTCTTTGTCTTTATTCGCGTCCTCGTTCTGATTTGTGTTTTGCTTCATGTATTGATTTGGGCTTTTGGTCTCGCTTATTTTGAGAGGGGGTGGTTCTTCATTCGGAAGCAGAGATGGGAGGGGAACTTCTAACCACTTCCAGAGTGTCATTGCGGCTGTGAGACCCGCGACTCCGAGACAGGAGGCTTGTTCGAAAGTGAGATTCTGGGGGATGGGGAGGACGGTGTGGGAAGGAACTGTAACGAATTGTTGGAAGGTTCCTGCGCGGGAGTCGCGGTAGTATGTACCTATATACTTCATTAGCCCTTCTCCTTTCCATTTTTCCTTCTTCCTTTCCCTCCTTCAAGCAGGATATAAAATGTAAAAATTCCAAGACCTCAGAACAGTAAATGAAGGAAGAATAAAACTTACTACACCAAACCCTATCCCCCCTCCTAACACCCACTACCTCACTCCCCACTTCATACACAACACCCGCCATCTCCCTCCCATTAACCCACGGAAAAGCCGGCATACAAAAATTCCAATCCACCGATTTGTAATCGATGGGATTGAGTCCCGTCGCTCGATTCAAGATAATGACTTCCTTCTCATGCTGAATTTCTGGGAAGGGATGGTGTATTAGTGCATATGTGTGTTTTGCTACTACCGCCAGGGCTCTATTTACTCTCCGGGTGGTGACCTCTTGTGATTCTGGATTTGATGGTGGCCTTGGTTGTACATGTGTTTGAGCTGGAATTGTACTCGTGACAGGCGAGGTTGAAGGAATGGGGATATCTTGTTTTTGTTCACTGTCCAGTTTTAATTGTCCCTGTGGGATTCGAGGTTGGAGGACTAGCGATCTTTGGGATGTGGTGGAGGAGGAGAGGGTTCTTTTATGGTCATCGTCGAACCTTGGTGGGTGGCCGGTTGTGGGAATTGGGTTCTCGTGCTTGGTTCTGTGCTTAGGATTGAGGAGACCGCAGGATATGGAAGTGAGGAAGTTGGAGAAGGGCATTGTGTGGAAGCTCTGTTTACGTCACAGAATTGAACTCTCGAAGGAAAGAGAGGAGAGAATCAAACCCCAGGACCACCAGCGTGAAAGTTTTGGAATTACTCAAGATTGAAAACCCAAGACTTCGAGAGTGATAACAACGTTGACAACGACGATGAACTCGAGCTTCGAACTTGCAAGTCCATGGGCAAAGAAATAGATAAGAAAAGACAAAAATAAAACCAACAACCAAACTAAAAACAGATTATGAAATCACCTCCCTCTCCTCTGCCCGTCCGGCAAACTTACCCCACATTTTCTCTGGTACAACAATAGCGTCCATGTATGTCGTGCTCTCCGCATCGATATCGGAATTGCACACACCCACACCTAATCATGGAGAGCTGAAAGCATTGGTCCCACCCACCACATCAACGGATACCCTGCCGATCCACACCTAGGTACCTTCTTATAAATCTCTCCTCCCCCAATCCAATTGAATCCCGCAGACGTTCTACTCTACTATCAAACATTCAGACGTCAGGTATTGATGAATAATAGCAAAAAAATTCCCAGAAGCAGATAAAGTATATGGCGTAAACTTACCGGTTGGTGTCGCAATACTTTTTAATAGATGGGGAAGTATTCAAGAGTGGGAGTCGCTATCTTGGATTGAATTTTGGTTACCTGATATGTAAACAAAAGTACCGTACATTTTTAACTTCAAGTTATGGAGCCGTTTGGCTCAACAAATTTAAAAATATGCACCATACAGTAAGATTTGTATACATATTACAATATACACGATATGCATGTATATTATAAAATACGCTACTATTTAGATAGAACTAATTATTTCTACCTGATTTAGCTATAAATCCGTTATAAATCTTTTTATATTTACACTACTAAGATAAGATATATAAAGGAGTTAAGGCCTCGGGGTTCTATATCTTTTTCTTTTACGTAAATCTACTTATAAATCTGTCCGCCCCCCTACACCTCCTATAGCATCCCCTCCTATAGTATCCCCTCCTATAGTATCCCTCCTATAGTATCCCTCCTATAGTATCCCTCCTATAGTAGCCGTCCCATAGTATCCCCATACTAACAGAAAGTAAAATTCAGCTAATTCGTTACTATAAAGCGTAGCCGTAAAAACTAATCCTATAAGCTAGGGTAGTAGGGCAAGAGGGTAAGAGGGTAGGCAGGGGGTATAGATATATTAGTAAGATTTGCACATATAATAAAACACTTTTACAGCCAGCCAAACAGTAGTATATATATTTCGTCAGATTAGTATAAATTATATATAAGTTAAGAAACTTTTATACAAGCCCTTAGGTTCTAGGGCGTATACAAAGGTTTATGGTTTACAGTTTATTTGCACGAATTAAATATGCGAGCTAAATAGGCCCTATTTTTGGTTGAGTTCTGATATTGTAAACATTAATACCCACAGAGTCGTCATAACTGTTTTGTAGTTCTACCTGTCCTACTAACTCACCAGATAATCAGTAAAAGTCTCCACCGAAGAAAATTTTGTATCTCCAACCAACTCCTTGAGCACCTTACAAATCGAATGCAAGTATCAACCCCCACAGAGCCGTCCCATATTTGCCTTCTGGTCATACCCATACCACCAAACTCCCAAGTGATCAAAAAAATTTCCCCCAAGAATTAACATCGCCTCTCCAACCACCCACTCACAACTATCAAATCCCAACAAACAAAACCCCCAGGTTAAGCAAGCGTATAGATCTATCTACCCAATCCACCACCCATGCCACCAAGAAGCCCAAGAATTCCACCACAAAGTAACATCTATAAAACGACGTCAACGTCAACCACAGCCAGAACATCACAAGCTTCTTAGAACACCTTGAGCTTTTGTTAGAATCCATAAAGCGAAACAGGTTCCAACTACAGTATTGACTTATCCTAGTATCCAAAACCCACTCGTGAAAGCTCACAAGGCAACAACCACATATACATAGGATACTCTAGATGTAGATGTAGATATATCCCAAAACCAAAACCTCAAACCCCCTGAACAAGTTGAATAACCGAGTCGATGCACACCACATCTACGCAACAACAACAACAACAACATAACCAACATAACCAACTCCCTTCATCTCCTCCATTGCATGTAAAACAGTAAAATGAAAAACATCCTATTACAATTAGATATCAAACACAACCCCCCTCCTATAAGCCAAGTAGAAAGAAAGAAAGAAAGAGTAAGTTATAGACTTATAGATTTACAGTCCGTCAATCCCAATAACTAAAGAGAACTTTGACATTTCAACTTTTAAAGACATATAGGGAACCCCATCTACATCGGTGGATATTCAAGGCTGCTGTATACTTGAGATTTCAAGAGTGGAAAGTTGAACGTGTTACTTACTACCTAACCCTCGAGATTCTCCAAAGAGCTCTTGTATGATAATTTATATCAAAACGATTCTTGAATTCTTCTCGACTATCCATCCTGAAGAAACAACAACCAAGCAGGAAACAGAAGACCTATCTCAACACTTCATCATGTTGATATGAGAATACATCTATAATTGGGGTGGAGTACAAATATATCAATTCAACAACATCCCTATCATATTCAAAATTTCGAAGAAGTCCCTTATTCCTCATCCTCACTATCCTCCCCAAAAATCGCCCTGAAAACCGCCTCACCAGCCCGTTCCCCCTCAAGCGCCTCGTTCTTCTCGGTATCAATAACGGTTTCTTTGACAGTTGTCACAGATGGCACATCTTGCATCTCCACCTCCCTACTTCCCACTCCAGACCCCGACTCATCCCTCCAATTCCTCCCACCATGCATCATCATCTCCTCAACCTTGCTCTTCGAAACCAAATCCGGAGCCGGATTTCTCAACGGGCCCTCGTCATGTTCCGTCGCCCCAGGCTGTACATTCCTAGGCGGCTGCACACCCATCCTCTTACACAGCAACCTGGTCGGTAGCCAATCCCTCGTACTCCTCGTCATAGGTCCGTACATACCCATCCTGGCAGCCTGTTCGGCCGGATCCTCAGGGGTAGATTTAATGTCAGGTTTGCGAAGTAAGTCCGCTTCCCCAGGTATATTCGATGAGGCTGAAGAAGATGCGGGAGGCGCAGAAGTAGAGGATGTGAACCTCGTCGCCATCATCCCGCTCATCGGTTTGAAGATCTGCGCGCAATTCGCAAACTCGCGTAGTTCTTTTAGCCAGTCCTCCTTGCTTGTCCCAGGGGTACGTTCTAGCGGATGGGGATTAAGCCCGACTTGAACCTCGAGATAGGCTCTGTACCGTCCTCGCTTCCCTTCGTCTTCACCGTACGGCATGAATCCGCTTGCGCCGCGACTGAGAGCTGCTTCAGCTGTAGACCTCTCAACCTTAGGGATTTGAGATTGGAGTTCTTGTGCTCGTTCTGCTTCTGTCATGCTATATCCCGCTGGTATCTCGCCTAACGCGGGGGGAAGATTCATTTTTCCTGTTGTGGAAGCGAGACGATTTCGTGCGGCAGGGGTGAGGAAGTCGAATACAGATTTCCCTGGGAGTGATGATTCGCCGAGAATCGCAGCTCTGGATTTTGGATCTAATTTTGAGAGTTTCGCTGCGTCGGCTGTAGATAGGAAGGATGTCGTAGCAGCACCCGCTCGAGGCTGTTTTGAGGATTTCCATTCTGGTGGTATTGAAGAGGGTTGATATTTCGTTGCTGAATCAAGGAGAGATGAGAATTCGTCGTTGGTACTTATTATGAATCCGTCTAGAGGTAAACGACCATCATGACATTTTCGGAAACCGGTTGATGCTTTAGCCATAGCGGATTTCTTTGATATGAAGACTGGTTTTGCCTTCAATAATGGGTTGAGAGATCCATTGACTGGTTTCTTCTTCTTCTTTTCTCCTCCAATAACGCGATTGTAAGATATTCGTGGACCGATTTCATAGGGATCTTCATCGTCTGAACCCGTATCATTCAGAATCCCAATTCCAATGCCACCTCTTACAGGTCTCTTCTTCTTGGTATTCTTTGGCCCAACCAATGCCATTTGTGGCCCCTCATCCTCATCATCAGACTTCACAACCTCCGCAGTCCGTCCAACAACATCCTCAAGCTTCGCCTCGCCCTCAAACCCAAGACCTTTATGATCATTCTTCCTCACAAACCCAATCATCTTCGTATTCTCGGGGGCAAACAAATGCATCTCCCCATCATCCACCTTACCATCCAACCTCGCTTTTCTCCTAACCTTCGGACCAATTCCCTGCCCCTCCTTCCACCCCATCCTCTTCAACAATTTCATCCCCATCGTCTCCCCCTCCACCCTCAAAAGACCCATCAATCCTCCCCTCCTTAGATTCTCATCAGCTGTCGTTCCCAGCCCGGAGAAGCCATCTGTAGTCTGAACCCTCTGAGCCTCCTCCGCATCTGCAATATCCTCCTCATCCATGAAATCCTCCGGTCGCTGGGGCGCTGGTGCGGGTGCATCCTTCTTTCGGTTCGTACGAGAGGAGACGAAGGTAGAGGGCGTCCAGCCCTCTTTGGAACCAACAGTATTGTAGTATCTATTCAAAACTCTTGTTAGTTCCCTCATATACCCAGATCTCAATCCCAAGTGTCAAATCCCAAAACCCCTCCCCTCTGCACCCCTCCCCCCGAATAAACCAACCAAAACCCCAAAAAGGCACAAACATACCCAGCACTAAACCCCCCCGTAAACGCCCCATGCAACCTCTTCAACCCCCTCTCATCCCTAACCTCCTGCTTCCAAACGGGGACATAACTCCCATCATCCCTCACATTATCGTCCAGCGGCGGAAGCGCCATCCCATACGCCACGAAAGGGGATTGCTGGGCCTTCAGATCCGCTTCGTATGTGGCTCTCGAGCGTTTACCTGTCGACATGGTGCATTTCAGGACATGGATGTTGTTGCGTGAGGTGGTTGTCGGAACTACTACGTAGTTGGGGTGGAAAGACTGAGGGGCAGCCTTGCGATTGAGGCAAGATTCACATACTTGCCCGACGCATGACTGAGCGAGAGCCGGGGAACTGGACGGGACGGGTGGAGTGGAGTAGAAGGTACCTTACGCTATTGATTCGCTTAAGGTTTGAGAGGGGAGTGAACTAATAGTATCCATGTCAGGAAATTAACTTTTAGAGCAAGGCTATCATGGCAATAATGTATTAATATTCCGAGGTATATCCTGCGCTATTCTCCAATTGGCAATTCACGACCTCGGGAGTTCTTTAGGCATCAAATCAGCTTAAGTTAACAAGGCATCATCAGCGTGAATTTCATTGAAACCCAATTGTATTGATTTATAATTGGGTAAGTTCAGTTAAAAAGTTTTGTGTTTGTAAGGACCTCCATTTGATTAACCATGCCTATTGGTTGAAATCTGCTTGATTTGGTTAATAGCCTTCTGAACCTACGAGTTATTTGCCAGCTTCTCTTCACATACTCGAGACCTCCACCACTCGAAAGAAGCATACTCTCAATAAGAAAAGGTGTCGTTCTTGGCTTTTCAACCACCCACGAAAAGCAAAAATTGTGACCAAGTCTCATCGGCATTTTGAGACAGACGTACTAACAGAAAAATGAGGCCAAGTCAAACCTTTGAAAAGGTGGCAGATCAATTGCTGAAAGCTTTCTCAACTTTTTGATTCTGGATTCGTATTTAACGATTGCTCATAAATAGAAGCATCCCTTGCGAGGCTATGTAAAGCATTCCATTTTGTCAGCCAAAAATTCCTTTTTGGGAGAATGGTTTCCCGACAATCCAGCCGGGAAGGGTTTCCAGAATCCACTCGGATATACCGGAAACCATACGATTCATTGTCAGATTTGTACACCGGTGTATTACTGGAAAAAGTTGTAGAGCCTCGTAGTTTTTATACTTAGCTTCTAAGAATCATAGGATACCCCAGATTATCGTATCAAGAAAAGATTGCGACAGGGATGAATGATAGACTTCCACTATCGAATACGCCCGACGGCAGTTGGCTACGTTGGGTTCTTATCTCTGTCCGACATGTGATGACAGCATCTTTTGCCAAACAAGCCAATGACAGAGCAGAAAGTCAACGGCGCGCCAATGGAATGAAACTTGATACCCAGCAATCCGGGCGATAATAATGCCGGGATTTTCGAGGGATAATCAGTATCGCCGTAATATCGTTTCTTATTATTCTTCAGAAATTTTCTCTTTTGCTGAGAAGGTTTTCAGATTGCTGACACTTGGCGCGGACAAACCTGAAAAGCACTCTACAAGCCAAGGCTTCCAGAAACCCCGCGGGCCGCCGCCTTAAAACTGGGAGATTTGCGTACGGAGCGGTGCCGCATTGACACGATTGTCGTCTGAATCGTGCAAAGTGTCTTGATCGCTTCGGGTTGGGGAAATCCTGTCGGAAATCCTCCTTTGAGAGGCTTGGGAGGGATGAACGATCGCAATAATGAACATGTGGGCGGCGTCTTGTCGCACGGAGGAGAGATAGAGGAGCAAGATAGTGAGAAACGATTCCTGGCAACTTCATGTCCTGGTTCCCTGGTCTGCGAATGGAGAGTGTGATAAGGGAAAGGATGGGGGGTAGACTTGGATGATGGAAAGGATTTTAGCTGATGACAGATGGAACGGTGATTGGCTCACGGTGCAACCAGGACTCAATAGGCATCAAAGCCTTGTCCCTCGAGTGACTCACCATCGGCACACCCACCGCCACTCGGCGCGTTAATTTGGTTGGCCGTCCGGCTGTCCTCCCACCATTGCCAGACGTGCAGGAAAAGCAGCAGTGCTTGCGCTAAAAGTGGACGCTGAGAGAGGCTCTGATGCATTTTGTTGCACTGTGCGTTGCAAGAAGGGGCGCATCGGCGCATCGGAGGGGCTGGTTGAGTGACGGTCAGCGAAGAGAAAAGGAACATCTGTTTCTTTTTCCATTGCATTTCTGGTGTTCGTGTCTGGGTTTGAGGAATCGGATCCTTCGACGGCTTGTGACGGCTTCAGATGGCGTCTTGTGTAGGGTGAAGCGGCATCGCATCATCGTGAACTGCGGGTTTGTTGTGTGGATGGTTGGAGGGTTGGAGGGTTGGATGGTTGGTGTTTGTTTGGTGTATCGAGGGTGCGCGTCCAGTCTTTCCGTTGAGGGTGCCAGTAACCAGTTATAGTTGGTGGACAGGCTCGCAGGCAAGCAACCTGCGTTGCGCTGTGATACTTCCCCCCAATCTTGCAGAGGCTGGGAACGGGTGGCCAATTTACCATGATAATTTCCCTGGCAGTGCTGTGCCACCGGACAGCCGTCGCTCTCGCTCTCCCTCGGTCGCATCCGCAGGCAAGATGGAATGTTGTGCTCACCTTCAACCACAACACCAGCGTCGGCGCAGCGCAACAGCCTCGTGGTGTTTCGAAGGAGGAGGTGTGCGGAGTGAGGTGTGCGATGGAGTTCACCATGTTGAGATGGTTTACCCGCTCGGGGGGTCTCCAGGCTTTTTTCAGGGGGGGCGTACACATCGCATTGCATCGCGTCCCCATACTCCGTATCCGTAGCGTAGCGTAGCATAGCGTACCGGCGTAAATTTACCAGTAAAAATAACACGCCGAGCGTGTGTGTTGGGCAGCCGGCGACGGCTTCAATGCACTGGAATAGGGGCCATGGCGCACGGTGATGCGGCCGCGTTCTTTCTCTCTAAAAACACCGTGTACCGGTTTCAGTTGGGGTCAGTTGAGGTCGATCGCGCAAGCGCCCCTCTCATTGGCTGCATCAGGCCGCCGTCGCCAGGCTGGGCCTGAAAAGGAACACCATTCCTGCCTCAGGCCAACCGTAACTCGGCAGTATATAACAGTCGCTCCTCCCCAGATGTTTTTGAACCTTTCTCGCGTAATTGGGTCTAGTCTACTTCCGCGAAATAACTTCATCCTACCTACCTCACCCACCTCACCCACCTCACCTCGACCACAACCACCATCATCGTCACCGACACCGTCTCTGCCATCCACACCAGAGCACAGTGCGTGGTCAAATACGTTCATTCACAGCTGCACAAGCCAGCGATACCACAAAAAAATAAAATAAGGGACCATCGAGACTGACTTGGCCGTCGTCTTTGTTCGAGCGCATCGCATCGAAACTCACGTCCATCTCAAAAAAGCCATTCACACATCTTCGTGTTGTGGATATCGCAGTCAATAGACCGACGCATATCCATTCACCATTGTCCACGGGTTGCTGTAGGGGAGACATTGAGTTGTTTTTCTCCTCCAAACGGTACGCCAGCCTTTTCCACTCAGCCTCGCTCGAGCCTCGGCGGGTATAAAGTTCTGCCCCCCGACCCCAACCTCCCCCTCTTCCTACTTTTTATTGTCGTGCCCACCATCTCATCTGCGACACCATCCACCACTTTTTGACTACATTGCTCGTCGCATCTCTCCCCGAATCTCCATTCTAACAGAGTCGCATCAGACCCGCTCCACCTCGCATCTTCCGTCTTCGGTCGACGTCAATAACATCACCTTCACCATGGATCAGATCCAGACCCACCCCACCAACGCTGCGGCAGCAAAGACCTTCATTGCGCCAGGCTCCTTGTCATTCCCAGGTGGTGCTGGCGAGTTGACTCCACCTTCAGATGGTCAGGTTCAGAAGGATCATCAGCAGCAGGTCGCTCAAGGTCATGTTGGCAACGAGGTGGCTCCCGCGACGCCTGCAGCTACTCCAGGAACCAGCGCCAACGCCCCAACAGGTGTCAGCGGTATCGTACCAACCTTGCAGTATGTATCACCCTAAAAACCTCATGTTTTGAACTTGAGGCTTATCTTGCATGTAAAGAAACATCGTTGCCACGGTCAATCTCGATTGCCGCTTGGATCTGAAGACGATCGCCCTGCATGCGAGAAACGCGGAATATAACCCCAAGGTACTGCTGACGCTAGGCCATTCAACCTTCGTTTTGCTAACCATCGCAGCGTTTTGCGGCTGTTATCATGCGTATCAGAGAGCCAAAAACTACTGCATTGATCTTCGCCTCTGGCAAGATGGTCGTTACTGGTGCCAAGTCTGAGGACGATTCGAAGCTAGCATCACGAAAGTATGCGCGCATCATTCAAAAGCTCGGTTTCAACGCCAAGTTCACCGACTTCAAGATCCAAAACATTGTCGGCTCTTGCGACATCAAGTTCCCCATTCGTTTGGAAGGTCTTGCATCGCGCCATCACAATTTCAGCTCTTACGAGCCTGAGTTGTTCCCTGGTCTCATTTACAGAATGATTAAGCCCAAGATTGTCCTTTTGATCTTCGTCAGTGGAAAGATCGTCTTGACTGGTGCCAAAGTTCGTGAGGAGATTTACCAGGCTTTCGAGATGATCTACCCCGTGCTCCAGGGTAAGTTTCACTACGTGTTCACTTTCAAGATCATGTCACTAATATACATTCCAGACTTCAAAAAGGTCTAGTGTAGCAATGCGAAGATTTGCATCTGCGGTACGATCATTCAGGTTCCTCACCGCAGGATGTACCAATATACCCCAAACTGTACAAGTATTTTGCGTTTTTCACGATTTTCACGACCCCCTTCAAAAGTCGGTAAATGGTTGACGCCACAATCATCTCACTGACTTGACCCATCTCTTCGTCAATCAGTAGTCAACCATTTCCTCCCATCATCATTATGCATTGCAACGGCGTACATGGGGATGAGTCCGTGGAGAGGCTCACCATAGGTTTCTAGCATGTTTCTGTTTTTATTTTTTTCTGCACGCGCGCGAAGAACATAGATTGTACACACCACACATTCGGCGATGGCATGTACGCAGGTCGAAGATGCCGTCTTAATAACGCTCTTCATAAACCAAAGAGCTAATATTCTCGTTGCGACGGTTAAGGGTTCCTTCCGCCTTCCTGTTGGTTGGCAAAGACAGTATGACACTGATGGAGTCTTTCAGGTGTCCCAGACAGACGCTTGATGTCTCGGGTTGCCAAAACATAATAAGCATCGTGGTGAAGATAATCATGTGGCTTCCCCAAATTTGCGCTGGCCTCTGGCTGGTAAGAAACTCCGTGGCCTTTCATGTATTGCTATGACGGACGGTGGGCTTTACCATACCATTCTGATAGGCAATTGAATCCATGATAAAAATATCTGCATTCGAATGATGTGAAGTTTTAGTGTGATAGTATGGCTGCTTTACCTGTTTGATATATCCTCTTGTAGACCCATCCAACATTCTGCTCCCAATGGTGTCTTGCCTGCGCGCAAGTTTAAGGAGCAGGATGTTCGGCTCAGAGCTTACTTACCTCTGTCATCTCCACTTCCAATATCATCCCAGATCTTCCGCCCCGACTCCCATCTTCCGTAACCACGTTCTCTACAACCTCCTTCCACGCCCACTTGTCCTTGAACTCCGCAGGACAGTTCCCTTTGAGACAGTCCACGATCTTGTCTCCGATGACAGGTAGGAACTTGAAACCATGACCACTGCCCCCAGTCGCGAGAAACAAGTTCGAGTATGTGGGATGATAAGAGATGAGGAAGTCGCCTGTAGGTGTATCGGTGTACCAACATATCCTTGATTGTGTGAACGGACGGCCGGCGACGGAGGGAATCATTTCGGCGACCGCTTTTTTGCAGGCTTCTTCTCCTTCGCTGGGAATCCAAAGGTTGGGGTTGTCGTAGTTGGTGACGGGTCGTGAGACGGTTATTGTCTTCTCGGGGTTGGTAGGAGAAAGCGGCTCCGGGTTTGGTATGGAAACTGGGTTTGAGTAGCCATAGCCGTGACGAGCCACTTTGAGTAGATTGTTGCGTGGTGGAATAATGAACATCCCGCCGGTCATATTTAGGAAGACTGGCATCTTTTCCAGTCGCTCCTGCTCAGCGTCTGTGATGGGAAGGTAGGAAAGCACTTGTCCCGTTGCTTGACATCGTCCACGGAGGTCGATTAGACAAGGCGTCCAGGCTCCTGTTGCCAGTATAGTCAAGTCCGCTGTGATTTTTGTGTAGTCTGAAAGTATGACGCCTTGAACGGAGTTTGTTGGGGAGAAAAGAAGCGAGCTGACGGTTGCTACTTTGAAGTCTACACGCTTAGTGGATTCGACTTTCCGCCGGAGCCATACCATTGAAGCTTCGGCGTCCGCCCATCCACTACGAGTGTTAATGTAGCCCCAGTCGCCAGAGTATCCGTCGGTGCCTACTCTATCCGAGATCTCCTGGCGGGACTTGAGTTCGTGTACAGTCCCTTCAGCTGAGGTGCCCTTGTTGAGAGCAATAACATTTGTGTAGGAGGAACGGACGTAGGGCAGTCCGTTTGAAGACGCGTTGGCAACAAGTGTGAAACCACTCTCGGTATACCGTCCTGATCCTCCTAGGGAGTCAGGAGAGGAAGATTGGCGCCATATATTCTGTGCCTTGTCCGCGAGGGCAGCGTAGGCTGGGTCCGCGTAGTCTGTGGCAGGTAACAAGTCAGTTCAAGGGTTGAAAAAGCACAATAAGAGGGGTTTTGTTATAGGGATTACCTGGTCGGACTATTCGCGAAGTATCAATAGAACTTCCATCTGGAGAAGGAAAGGAGCTTCTATCAATGACAGTGATCTTCGTCCCGAAAAATGAGGGGCGGGTTGCAAGCGAAAGGGCTGTGGAAAGACCGAACACTCCGGATCCTACGATGAGGATTGATTTAGGAGGTGTGAAGTTTGGTAAGGAAGTAGATGGGAAGTTTGATGGGGTTGAGGAAGAGGCAGAGGCCATTGGGATGTCTTTGCTTTCCCGACGCCGGGAATGTGTGATTGTGGGTCTCTGACTGTAATTCTGACTCCAGAATTGGGGGGCAATTTGATGCGCATGAAATTGTGAATCAAAGGAGATTGGAAAGGGGTTGTGTAGAAGTATTAGGCGAGAAAGATGGCCATTATATACTGACTGTGAGAACTTTGTACAGACAATGAGAAGGCGAAAAGAGTAAAAATATGCAACGAGATCATGCGATAACGAATGATGGGGATGTTGAGTGCTTGAAGCTGGAGAGGAGTGGGGGTCGGGGTGAGTGAGCGTGGGCTTGTACCTGAAACGCTGAATCATACAGTCGAGTCGGTACAGTAGTGCCCTCCGTGGCCGATATTGCTCCGAGTTTGCAGCTCAATCACCAGCAGCTTTGCGACGAGAGCCCAATCACCACACCTTGCCCTTCGGCCGCTCCCAATACTCTATTGGTACTCTCGCAGAGGATGTGATACAGTAGCAGCTATGGCTACAGACGCCGAAAAGAAAATCGCCGAGTTTCCCGAGGTGGAATCTAAGCTACAAGCTCCCACCAAGAAATCACTCTTCGAGCGCCAGAAAGCAGAAGCAGAAGCCAAACGATTGCGCGAGGAAGCAGAAACCAAAGCCGTGTACGAGGACTTTGTAAAGTCGTTCGACGATGAGGATGATGAGCCACCTCCGGGAGCTGGATTTAACAATGGAGGGCGCTTTGGGGGGAGAGGGGGATTTGAAGAAGTAACCGGACCTCCCAAGAGACATTATGGACAAGGTGGAATTGGTTTGAGTGCGCCGAGCGGACCTTCTGGTGGTAGAGGAACGGGAAGAACTGTCAATAGCGGGCCTGGGAGTCTAGGGCCGCCGCCGATGAAGAAGAGGGCATTCGATGGGGGATTTGCGCAGAGCTCATCGAGGAAAGGCCGAGATGATAGAGGGGTGTTGGCCTTTGATGACTACGACTACGAGAGAGAGAGAAAGCCGGCGAAGGGTTTCAGCACGTCTGATGACGAAGATGAGAGACACGGGAAGCTTAGTCGAGAAGACGAAAGAGCGGTTGCAAAGCCGACTTTGAGACTTGCCTCTTTACCGCCTGGAACTTCTCCTGCAGTTATCAAAGCTCTTTTACCTGCAAGCCTAACACTTGATGCAATTCGAATCTTGCCGCCGAACGGACCGGGAGGAAATTCAGAAAGGAGATCAATGTCAGCTATTGTTACCCTTGCGAAGGATACAACGGCAAACGATATTGATTCAACAGTCAACACATTACAAAACAGATATCTCGGGTTTGGCCATTATCTGTCAATCCATCGACATCTTTCTTCTGCTGTCACAGCAACTGCAGCTATCTCTTCGCTTGGCGCAAGCACAGCTTCTCAGCCTTTTGGAGCAAGGCCTGTTATGGTAGCACCAACCGGACGAGGACATGCACCACCCCCTACACACCAGCGAGGATTCGCGCCTCCATCTTCCTACGGGCCTGCTCAGCCGGCTCTTAACCGAAATGGTCCACTTCTACATGTTCCCGTCCAAGCACCTCAAGATATCAAAGAGCTCAAACTCATACATAAAGTCATTGAATGTTTACTTAGCCACGGACCAGAATTTGAGGCACTCCTCATGAGTAGACCGGATGTTCAACGAGAAGAAAAATGGGCATGGCTTTGGGATCCTCGAAGTACTGGGGGTGTATGGTATCGTTGGCGACTATGGGAGGTACTTACTGGATCAACCACTAAAAGAGGCCAAGGAAAATACCTACCTCTTTTTGAAGGGTCTTCGGCTTGGAAAGCACCCGATCAACCCTTGGCCTACGAATATACAACATCTCTTGAGGAATTCGTATCCGATTCAGAGTACAATTCTTCCGACGACGACGAGTCCGGAGACGAGGGAACTAGAAGACAGCATCACAATGGCGGTGCACCTCCGGATCCAAGTCTCTTGACCGATGACGGAAAAGCATATCTCAATCCCCTCGAAAAAGCAAAATTAACACATCTTCTTGCCCGACTTCCAACAAGCACTGGCAAGCTAAGAAAGGGAGATGTCGCACGCATCACCGCTTTCGCCATATCACACGCCGGGAAGGGGTCTGATGAAGTGGTTTCCATGATCGTTTCTAATATCGAGAAACCATTCTCCTGCACATCTGCGAATCCCGACCATAAGAAAGAGAAGGAAACGAGCGACAACGAGGCTGATGATGAGGAGAAATCAGATACGAGTTCAGCTAGTCTGATTGGTGTATACCTCATCTCCGATATCCTATCCTCTTCCTCTACAAGTGGTGTACGACACGCGTGGCGATATCGGCAACTCTTTGAATCTGCGCTCCGTCAACGACAAGTTTTCGAAACGCTCGGTAGGATGGAGCGAAAGATGAATTGGGGTCGACTGAGAGCTGAGAAGTGGAAGAGGAGTGTGGGTAATATCTTGAGCCTATGGGAGGGATGGTGTGTTTTCCCGCAAGGAAGTCAGGAGCATTTTGTGCAGGTTTTCAATTCTCCGCCTCTTACGGCCAAGGAGAAGGAGGAAAACGAGCTCAAGATGAAGGAAGAAGAGCAGAAAGCCGAGAAAGGGAAGAGTCGGTGGAAGGCTGTCGAGGTTGCGGCCAAAGAACCTTCTTCTCTTGATTCGCAGCCAGAACCCGAGGAGGGTCTCGACGGCGAACCGATGGAAGAGGATGGTGATGTTGATGGCGAGCCCATGGCTGAGGATAATGAAGATGTGGATGGTATACCAATGGAGGACGAGGATATTGATGGGGAACCGATGGATGAGGATGGGGCCGAGAGAGATTATAGTCCGCCTCCACCGGAAATCCCAGAGAGTAAGGAGGGGGTTAATGATGCGGATGCTACGCCGGCGGGACAGGCTAGGAGGAGACCCAGGGCTGTGGATATGTTTGCTGATTCTGATGAGGATGACAATTAGCTGGGCTGGTAGGTAGGTAGGCAGGTCTTTTTATGAGTAGCAGTCAGCTCGGATCACCAGAGATTTAATAATTGTGCTCAATTTTTTCCCCCTCTAGTTCTGGATATTGTGTGTGATGGTATACCTCGTCCCGTTGGGCTGTAACCCGTTGCTCATGTCGGGTTGTATCAAACGGGTAGATTTCTTTGGATAGTCAAGTCATGCGCACCTCTGAAAGAAGTAAGACAACCATAAACATGGGAGAACACTAGTTCAACGAGCTCCAAGAAAATAAACACGCGGAAACATATTCTATCTACAACTAATGTCTTATTCCCAGTCAGAATGAAATCCACACCATAGTTCCATATCTTGATAAATCATTTTACGGTAACTGACTAAACTACCCTTTATAAATTGTATATCACTAATATACCCCCTAGGTAATGGAAAATTGACAGAACCACCCCCTGAATGGTACGCCTCAAAATAAGGGGTAGTCCTGTTACTATCGCTTAGAAGAGAGGTAGTTCTGTCAGTGAACATTCACTATTTTTTGTATATATCTATACCTATTTTCTAGTGAATTGAAGCTATAGTGTCATGCTACTAACATACGGAGTCTTACCCCGCAAATCCTCTACCTTCACTATTCTCTACTACTATACATACTAACAACAACACCACAACACTACTACTATGCTCCTATATATTAGCGGCATAACAAAGAGTATCTAGCACCGTGTTGCAATACAAGAAATCGGTAGCGCAACAAGAAAAAGACCAGGATAACGTAATCAAGTCTGGGGGGCAAGGAACTAAGGATATTACTCAGGAACAAGGAACTAATAACCGTAAGCGCAAGGGCAAGCACTACTAGGCTCAACTACCCCCAAAATCAAAATCCACCAGAAGTGGACTACAAGGTAGGATGTAAGTACGAGTAGACTAATTTACTTTGTTCATTGACTTTTTAGTGTAATACGCTGTAAAAACCATGAAGAAATAGAATCTTATAACTCTTATATTCTGACAGAAATACCGCTCTTTCTAAGCGATACTGACAGAACTACCCCTCATTTTGAGGGGTACCATTTAGGGGGTAGTTCTGTCAATCACCAATTACCTAGGGGGTATATTAGTGATTTACAATTTATAGAGGGGTAGTTTAGTCAATTACCGATCATTTTATCATAACAGTGTTATTTATCTGTGATTACCACATACTATTTCCAAACACCTTTTTACTATAATTCTCGTGACTCCCTATTCAAAGTATTCGTACTTTTAATGGGAGTAGACTTATATAACCTCATTTTTTGCGTCTTTGTCCGATTGTCGTCTGCTATTCCACAACGCGCAACTGAGGATGAGAACGAAGATGAGGACGAGGAAGACGAGAACGAGGAAGTGTAGCGTACAGGGCGTGAAACGAGGGGGCGTACTACAACATAACAACTTTTCTTTTGTCATAACCAGAAGCCTAGCTGCTTCCAACAACCCAAGAACTGTAATGACCATAAACCCCTTCTCAAACATGTATTTAGTACAGCTTCACTCATCTGTTGGAGGGAAACCCCCAGCCGTGCTACTATAGTCTCAGACTCACACAGCACGTTAAAAGGAATAATAATAATAATAATAATAATCGTCTGTTATTCGATTTTTACTTACCCCTTTTTCGATGGGGTTGAGTTGCGCTTTCATTCCTGATTATTATATGGTATGCTATTTCTGGAGCCGGGGTGTTAGGTATCAGCTTCTTTGGATTGATTTTCTGGGTGAAGAACCCAAAATCAAAACTTGTTGACGAAATTAGCGAGCTAAGCGAAACGAATGGAAACGAGAGAGAGAGAGGTGGATGCTGCCAAAGGATATACAGATACTAAATAACTGGTGACTCAAGGAAGGAACTCCAGTTTACGTTCTGTGAATATTAATGGATGTGAGTCTTTTTATTTCATTCTGTTTTTAGGAGTCTTGTGGGCGAATAGTTTGTTTAGTTAGTATTTATATAGAAGGGTTATGGTAATAAATAATTTAGAGTCTTAGACGTGAGGAGGCAAAGCACTATGCAATCAAAGATGATAATTAATGAGAGTACCTGGGTTTTAGTATACACCAGTATCGTCCTCGCCTGTCCCTCTCATGGGGGTTTGATACTACTGTGTGGTTTCTGGTGTCACCGACTAACTGTCAAGACATAGGCAGATAGCCAGTAAGTTATCTCATTTATCAACATCCTAGGAAGATTCGAGTCCCTTTTTAACTTAGCTATATATTTCCTCCTATCTAGAAGCTTGCTATTCTTTCAATCTAGTCTCCTATACTTTCATAAATTATAGGGGGGATACGTACGGTATCCCAATCCTACACTTAGATCGGCATCGACTAAACCGTAAATCCTAAGTCATAAAGGCTATATAATTACTCTTACCACCTACTATACCTATACCCCTACACCCCTCCTCCTATATTCACATACCTACGTATGTATTTTTCCGTGTATTTCTACTATGTAACCCCCTAACCTAACTACCGCCCACCTTATTATCGCTATACCCTTATTATAACTACATTCTTACCGTCGCATCCTTACTAGCGCTACCGGGTTCTACCCTAGTAATTTATTTCGAAAAGAGTTTAAGAGAGGGTAGTAAAGATAAAAGCGGGGAAATATTTTAGTTATATACATAATATCGCTTGTTCCTAGCCCTTAATACTAACTACCTTCCTAAAGAGGCTAGGCTAGGCTAGTACGTATTATACTAACAATTAATTGCTACTTACTCTACCCCTCATTCTTGTACTTCTCTTTCCTAGGTACACTCCTTCTTTATAAGTCTACTCTATAATAGCGATAGCGATGTCGAGAAGTGAAAAGGGGGATTTACTAGTCGGGGCACCTAGGACGATACTTGTAGAGGTCGGAAAAGTACATAGGTACCTAGGGGTATATAGTTACGTGTGATATACGAAAGGGGGGGGNGGGGAGTGGGGGTACAGAAATAAGGGTATAGAGAGGGGGTGTGAAAAGGTACTTGTGTACTTATATTCTAGGGGACTTTTACTATTTATATAATTTTAGATGAAGATTTGATAGATCGATTATATACTCTAGCTCTTCCTAATATATAAAGTAAAGTAATATACGATTTGCGATTTACGATTTAGTTATCTGGTTTAGTGGTAGATTCAGGATGCCGTAGATGCCGTACTCTACCTATTCGCCTAATTCCGTTCCGTACTTTGATGTGTAGAGCGGTACGGTAATAATGTATGTAATAGTGTTTCCTTCCTAGATCTTCCTTCTCGTCTTATGTCGTGTCGTGTCCTGTCATCTCATCTCATCTCATCTCATCTTATCATTACCCCCTTACGGAAACGCGTAAGTCATATCACAATTGAGGCCCCTCTTACCTACCAATCTACCCATCTATCCATCTGTTCATCAATCACTCAATAAACAGGAATCCTCCACTTAATCCCCTCCTCCTCCTCCTCATCCCCTTCCCTCTCATTCTCCCTCTCACTCTCACACTCCCCCACCACCTCCTCATTCCCCCGCCAAATCCTAAACCCCCTCCCATTCCACCCATCACGATACCCCCCCTCCGCATGTCCCTCACGAAAGGTCCGTACGAGTAGCTCGTTAATTTCCGCAGCGATGGCAGCAAGTCTCTGATTCCATTTCACGTCTTCATCCGCTTCCTTCTCTTCATCCCCCTCCCTCCCATCATCATTATCAGAAGAGGAGGGAGAGGGGATCCCGGGTTCGGAGGATGGAGATGCGATCTCCCCTTCATCTCCATCTCCCACATCCAAAGCCCGATCCCCAGCATCTCTCCCAGCACCAATCCCAACCCCAACCCCAACCCCAACCTTCTCCCTCTCCTCCCTCTGCATTCTCATCAAAAACGCCACCTCATCATAATCCGGCCGAATACTCCTCGGTAAATCCAAATCATATTTCTTCGTCCACAGCGGCCCATAGAACCCCCTTTCCCCCTCTCCATTCCGTTCCCCCTTCTCGTCCCCTTCCCCATCTCCCTTCCCCCCGCTCAGCCTTCGTACCTTCTCCGTCACCGCCCTCACAAGCTCACCACTCCCTTTCGGCACTGCGAACTTTCTCTTCTCATGAGAGGGCGAAGAAGAGAGATGGTTTTGGGTCGGTGTTTCGAACCGAGTATTCCTATCCGCAGGGTGTTCAAACGGACAAATCAGATCGATTTCCGGACTGGAATACCGTCGTAACGGGGGCCCATGGGGGTTCGTGGGGAAGGGGAGGGGGGTGAGTGCATCGCCGAAATCGAAGATGGCGAGGTCATGATTATTATCATTATTAGGATTGTAGTCCCCTTCCCCAGTATCTACCTCTTCCTCTTCTCTTAACCTCCCAACAAATGTTTGGGAAAGGCGTCGTTTACTTCTTGATACTAGCTCGGAGAGTTTATGAAAGACCCCGAGTTTGGGACGGGCGAGGGGGAAGGAGTGGCGCCGTGAGGGGATGGGGTGTTCTGGTTCGGGTTCTACTTCGATATCTGTTTCCTTCTCTTTTTTTAGGATTGAGGAGGTGGGTGAGGCTTTAGAGGCGGAGGGGGGGAGGTCGGTTGCGCGTGTGTTTTGGGTATTTCCATATAAACCACGTAGGATTGAGACGTTTTTGGGCCAGGAGTGGGTGGTGTGGGAGGAGGAGAAGGAGACGCGTTTGGGGTTGTGTTTGTGTTTGTGTTTGTGTTTGGTGTTGGATTTAGAATTGAGGGGTGACGAGGGGGATGGGAGGTGCGCTTTGAAATCTGTGGTGCAGATGAGGTGCACGTATTTCCGGGCTTTGGTGGAGAGGTGGAGGAGCTCTGTGTTGGGGTCGTGAGGGAAGTGTAGGTGGGTAGTCGTGGATTGGGTTTGGATTTGGGCCATTGTGGGATCCCGTTGGGAACCAGTCGGATGGTGGGGAGTTCTTTGAAGGCTAGAAAGAAAGATTGAGAATACAGTTATAATATAAAAACAGGGAATAAGACTCGGGGTAATTGACAGCGTATGAAATCCAGCTTCCAAGTAAAAAGGTGAATAGAATATAGATCTCGGGAGAACAAGCGAGGAAAGCAGATTCGGTATATCCTTCACCCACCAGCGCTTTAAAGGTGCGTCGGTACAAACGCACTACTTTAGTCGTGAAGACATCGTGAAGGACATTAATGTAATTCACTTCATCATGGAAAGATAATCTGCCGAAATGACCATCGTGGTAGTCTATAATCTTGGTATCTAGCTTCAACACTAACTACCAGCAGTGACGGCAGCAACAATCGCAGCGTTTACATCGGAGAGACGAAATCCTGGAGTTCTACCCAAACATGTTGCTCGACGAACCATTTCTATAGATTCATTAGCGACTTTGAAGAATTGGGGAGATGAGAGTGATACATACGGTCCACCAAAGTCTGAACATGCAACGTGATAGTCTTCTTCGCACTCTCCCTCGCAGCGGCAAATTCCTGCCCAGCAAGCGCGAAAAACGACGGATCCATCTCCCTATTCCTAGCCGCAGAGCTGAACCGCGGTGAAGCCAACGGGAAAGGATACGCTTCACTATCCAACTTCTGCGGGTCCAGACTATACATCTGCATCCCCACATCCCCGCCATTCTCGGGAGTCAACGGCGATACACTACTCCCCGATGAGCTATTTGATTCGCCCAGTTCTGAAATGACCGAGAGATCAATCTGAGCCGTGACCGTCTCAGCTGAACCGGGGATATCAAGACCTCGACTCTTGAGATATCCTTCCACGTCGTTTGCGTCGAAGAATTCTCCCTCTAGGCCGGGCAGCTTGCAATGCATGTCGTCATCCAGAACCTCTTCTACTTGAGTGACCTCAGGCGTGAATGGACCCATGGAATATCCCGTCCGAAATCTCGGTACAAAGTCCTCGTTGGTGTTATCCCAAGGATAAAAAGTCCCTGCACCCCCTACATGAGTAAAGGGTGCCTGCCAGTGTTGAAGGGTATCATTTCTTGTTGCTGCCAGCCTTCTCATAAGTCGAGCTTTGATGGCTTCTTTCTTCTCATATCGATTAGAGAACCCAAATGCTCGTTTCCATGTGGTGGGATTTGGATTTTCTTGCATAGCAAGTCTTAATGCTCCTTCCAAAGCTGTTCTGGTAAGTCGTCTAGCGAAAGAAATCTCCTGGTATGCATTTGTCTTTGGCAAAGGAAGCTGCGACTGTGGAAGGAAAAACTGCGAAAAGTCATCAACTTGTGGTACCTCAACTCGATATTGCTGCATGGGCTGTTGCAAATCCATAAAATCAAAAGGAAAGCTCGCATTATCCTCGGTAGGACGAGTGATCACCTGCAAATCCCGTTGATGATTTATCTCGGGATAGATTTGCGGCTGAAAGTTTTGTTGAGGTTCTTGAATTGGACTATTTGAGTGATCGATTGTATAACCGCCCCAGGGAGGAGTTTCGGTAAGAGGCGGCGGCAGCTCTGGTTCTTGACGAGGTTTCGGTGGAGAACGTCTTCCTTTCTTTTCAGGCGGTTCCAGGTCTTCCGGGATAGAATCATGTCTTTCAGGTTCCTCACTTCCATCTTCTCCATTCAAATCTTCTGCGCTTTGTTTCGCTAAAGCGAGGAATCTTTCCGTGGCCGATTGCAAATGCTGTCCAAACTCAGGTTCTCGTTGAAGGAGTGATCTCCCCACCGCGAAATCATAGAGGGAAATAAAGATATTACTCATTTCCTCATTCGTACCTCTCAGTTCCTGTACCTTCTTCTCCAGAGAAGAAATAGTCGTCTCTTTCCGGTGTCTGTAAGCTCTCTGCGCCATCCGGATCTGAGTCCGTCTCCTCTGTCATCACAAAAGTCAGCTTTCAAACATTAAACACGTCACCCAGCTCAACCGCTGCCCATCATCATCGTCAGAAAAAGACTTGAAATGCGCAACACATACATCAGCAGCCGTCTCATCCTTCGTATCAACCCTAGGCCGTCCCCTCGCCTTCTTCTCCCCCTCCTCATCCGCACTAATAACCTCAACAGCCCTCTTCCTCCTCCCCTTCTTCACACTCTTACTCTTCTCCCCAACACCCTCATTCACACCCTCCACATGCCTCCCCTCAAACCCAAAAAGAG